TCAAGTTGATGTTCTATCAGGCGAGAAAACAAAAACCACGCTGGGGTATGAAGGGGTCGGAACGTTTATAAGTGGCAGTGATCTCGTCTTTTAGATAGGCACCTGAGTGTGAGAGGAATGAGTAGAGATCGTCAGGAACGAGAAGGGAGGCAAATAATGCCCGTATGCTAAAGTAGAGATTATCCCTCACTACTTATCAAGTGGTAATGCTAGGAAAAGCACGAAGCAGATTCGTCAGAATATCTCCATGAGAGAAAAAAACATACATTATTTATAAGCCACAGCATCCGTCCACAAACCCACCTGTGGCCATGACGGCTAATTGCTGTCAGGCTTTGGCTATCTAGAATGGGAATATGCATGGTAGAGCGTTGTTGTTAGTATGGGATTAGAATCGCTGCATGTAGGGCGAGCCTAAAGCAGAGTAGGAAGGAGAGTCGAGCATCAAAAATTCAAAATGTGGTTGAGTTGGCCTGATACCCTTGATGGGAAATGGGTTGTTGAGCTTGAAGGCCGCTTTAAAAAATGGTAAAAATTTTATGGGATTTGTAGAATTCCATGGCTTGACTGAGTATCTATGACTAAACTGGAATAGGGAAAGGATGGTAACTATTTTGCCCTAGAAATTCCTCGCCTACCGCTTCATGAACCCATGAGGATCGGGACATGCGTGTTGGAGGGTAACACGGCTGGTAAGGTAAAAAAAAAAAGAGGTGGCGAATATATTGATTGGATAATGGCGCGCAAACTGGAGTGGCTGAGACAATGTCATTATGTCATGATTGGTAGATATGCAAATCTTCAAACTTAGGTATTTGCAGTACGCAAGTAACTCCCTAGCATGGTGAATGTGCTTTTAGACGCTCTAGAACCACCTTAATATTTTTTTGAGGGGCATTTTTTCCTTTTCTTTTGAAAAATCGCTAGCAAAATTAAGTCGGCCATATTAGTATACTTTCCTTGTCGATCCCATTCTTTTGAAAGATAATAAGTAATGAAGTTGTGGACTTTATATCTGCCACTGTGTGCATGGTATTCCTTTGCTCCGGAGAGGTATATGTAGATTTCGATTTCGTCGTTTGGCTGTGGCTTGTTTGACGTCTAGAAATCCACGATGAAATAAATGAAGATCATCTATCATTAGCAGCTGTTGTGTCTAAGTAAAGTATCATTACATCACAAGATGCATCGATATAGATTGAGTTTGATCATTACTACCTGCTGCCAGATCTGTTTGTCAGAAAGTATGAGGTCGTTGATGTGAGGTCGTTAACCCTACTAACATTAACAAAGCTATAAATACAACTTCTTTCGTTGGTTGGAAGGTACCAATTAAATTGGTGCATCGTAGATAACTCTAGTGATATCTTCGGAGAGCCCGGAAAGATACGATACTCTTTGTCGCAAATTATGAGATCTAAACAGTCTGAACTAGTATTATCAACAATCTCCTTGAGGAAGTTCAACCCTCTTTTTTTGTTTTTTTGTTTTTTTCATGATTTGCGTTTATGACTTTTGACGTTGGAAATTCAAGGGGCTCGGAGATATCTCCGGTTATCCAATAAGCGTGGCGAGCCCCTGCATTTTACTCCTCGAGCGTGTACCAACAATGACATGATAGCAACTATATATCCACCATCTAAGTGTATAATTATTAGATGCTATAAGTGTTTGGGAACCGGCACTTAACTTTCTTATCATTTACCTAAGCGTTGATATTTCAGTATATCAGATCATGGTGGCAGATGCAAGCATTTCACTGCTGTCTGTCCAAATTCAAGAAACCCAAACCAAAGTATAAGAGAGTATAATAGATTATTCAAGGAAAACCAATGAACGAAAGTTAGCCACTGATATCATTCTTTGGAGTGAAAGAAGTAATTCTCGCTTTAATACGGGAGTATCTACTGTATCACATCTTGTTAGATATTCAACCCTCGAGGATGTCTCTGCACATGATCAAGGAGCGATGCTGGTGGGTGTCACTTACCGACTAGGAATCAGACGGTGTCAAGTTATTTTTATTGTAGATCCAAGGAAATGGACCCCTAATCGTCATTGTGGGGAAGAGAGACGGAAAAAACCAGATGGAAAAGGTACAAGTTACAAACAAGTGCTACTTCTCGGTAACATAATCCGAAACGGTTGGCGTGAATCGGAAAACCTTACAGTCATTGGAAGAATCTTTGACTTTGGGGGTGGGTAACATTCTACCGGTATTCTCCCCCGAAATCATAATTTCTCGGGATGATCAGTCGGTAATAAATAGCTAAATATATTTTTACTCTTAAGAACAAGGTCCTCTATACTTACTATTCACTACATGGTGGTTGACTCTTACTTTTACTTTTACCTACGAATACTTCATGAATCATCAATAAATGCCAGGTTTAAAGATATTACGTGTTCGTCGGTTATATTAATTAACGTTTCTCAAAATAACTTTCCACCATATCAGCAGCATGTCAATCTTTCTCCATTCGTACCCAATAACATGTGGGTGAACTCATCAACTTGAAAATATACCCGGATTTGTTGCTGCTATCATGGTAAGTTACGCCACACTTGGGGCTGATATCTAACTTTTCAATCCATGATCAGCAATACACTGCCATATTGAGCAAACGATCACCATGAACCACATCAAAAACGTTCCATCATGACCTACGCTTACCTCCATCCTACTCGCAAAGGATACGCATTCATGCACACATCGTAGCATTTACAGAGGAGCCCAGCTTTAGCACCAAAAAGCAAAAAAAAGAAAAGCAAATTATTTGCCGACAGAACAGTACTTGCCACCCAATGCTGCTTTAACAAAAGAGGATATCATCGCAGTGACCATTGACTTTGTGGGTGCTGTGCTTCTCGACGGGGAAGTTTGACTTTCACTCATCAATGGCTAGACTCTGATAAGGTCAACGTGGCTTTTAGCTTTTGACGTTTCTCGCCTCCCGGAGATGAAGACGTTCAATCATGCCGATGATCAACGTTGCATTGGGGTCAAATTTAAGCTCGTACACAAAGTATTAAACAGTTCATCGTTCAGTGGCGGTAGAGTAGAGGGGATAAATACTAAGTACCAAGTTGCTTGGTGGGCAGCAGCGAAGAGTATATGAGTACTGCTGCTCTTCATGATTTTATATGAGGCCTGGTCAAGGTAAAAGCTTTTTTGTGAGCAATCCATTCTGGCATGTCTCCCGATTATGTCTCGGAAATGTATAAACATTATTTGTTAACCCTTTCACATTACGTGTTTGTATCCAGTCATTCTTGATGTAGGGAAAGTTACCCCAGAAGGAGCATGGCCCCTATACATAAGAGTTACCCGACTCCGGCTAACCTGTGTGTATTTGAAGATCTCGATATATTTCTTCATCAATGCTGGGCTGATAGATATTTGGTGTGAGTGATTGCTGAGCCGATAGATGGTACAATTCACTCACACTTCTACAGGGAGCATTTGATCGTGCATTCAAGTTTATCGGATAGAAAGGTCGGTGTTTTGCCGCCTGTTACACTGGCCCCAGTCGTTTATTCTTGAAGGTCATGATCGGTCACGCCTGTGGTTGCTTGTCTGTAGAAAGTCGTTTCTACAAATAAAACTGCTTTTCAGAACGGATGGCTGCATGATAATAGGTCGGTGAAACTGCTGTTGATACAAATCATTGGTTCTCTTCCTGACACCCGGATTTGGATGTCTCTCGCAGTGCTTTTACAAGGGCCCCCACGCATGGTCCGCCCGAACTCCAGGTCTGCGCAGCGGGTAGAGCGACAAGCCAGCAATGAGTCTAAAATATCTCTGTGAGTTGGTTATGGGACTCAAATCATCAAAAAGACTCTCGCTCCAAAGAGTATCATTCCGAGTCTAGTCTACTTGTAATTAATCAAAAACTGGCCCTGCCGCATCGCCGCCGAGTACATGCATCCTTCCAAACGGCATTGGACAGATCCTTTTCCGTGACACCCATGGTTATATTGCTAGGCTTGGGCCCCCATGATCATTCTTGTTGGGAAGAGACCCACCGCTCTGGTGGCTTTGAATTGCCTTATTGCCGTCTGTTCTTAGAGTTTCCTTTTGTGAAAATGGGACCGCCTTTTGGTGGGTGATTTGGCATTATTGATGGATCACTAGAAAGCTACAAAAGTGATAAGAACACGCTTCACGCTTCACGCATTGCAGTAGAGATTGCACATTTGCAACCTACCTACCATTCTTTCTTGGCTGCATCATGGAAGAGTTTTGACCTCCATGTAGTAAAGCCATAAGATCTTGCCATTTATTGTGAAATTTAGCGCCAGCTCAGCATACAATGTAACAGCCTTTAGGGGGACATAGGGCACTAAGTTGTTGCCAACCAACGCAACATCGCTAGTCCCGGTCCTTCCACTACTCGGGAAAATTAACGACTTTAAAAGCATTCTGGTAAGAGATTAGTCTTGCAAGGAGACCTTGAACATCGCCCACATCGTCAAAGATGACTATCCAATCCTCTTAGAATATCTATCACAGTACTAATCTTTTTTGGTAGCTTTCAAGCTGTATAATAACCAATTTATGCGAAAACTCGCCATGCAGTACTTTCCCCTCTTCTCCTCCGCCACAATCCTCTCGGCCTCGAAAACTGAACCATTCTCAAGCTTAAGCTTGAGAGACATTACAACTTGAACAATACCTAAAATCGTCACCTCGGTAAATCACATAAATCAGAATACATTACTATCCGCAGATTGATATCAAATGACAGTTCCATTGATAAATATAGAAACATAAATACATACAGACTCTTACGCCTCTATCTAGATCCTATGCTTAAGAAATAAGCCGAAAATTTCAACGTTAGCAAGGAGTTGTCAATCCACGCAGAGATCGCTCTGCGAGAAATCCACGAGAGAGGCACCAACAGAGTTATTGTCTTGCAGCGGTAACCTCGACTCTTCTAGATCTGCGACCATGATCGATCCAGGATTTTCCCACCTCATCATCCAGCTGAACGAGGAGAAGCAAGCCGTGCCGAGCCGTGCCATACATACGTACACCCATAGAACACTACAGCCTGCGATCTCTACCGCACAACCACACGAAACTGGGCAAGAAGATCGGACGAAACATCTGTTTTGAATCAATATTTGCCTTTTGAAAATCAATATGTTGATTCCATGCGACAATAGTACTAGCAAAGCTCAATCTGGGATATTCGAACCGAATCTAGATGTATTAGTGTTGGATCTTCAATAAGATCTCTCACATATTGCTCGCTAAGAACGAAACACGAAACCTATGACGGTACAAAAAATTACTTCCGTCAGTCTATCTTTCATTTGTTCTTTTGTAATCATCTCCTTTGCTACGAAAACAACACTCATGAAAGGCAAAATGTTAGTAATGAGCCATATACTTCTTTTTTCATATACGCACAACCATGAACCAGCGTTTCGAATTGTCAGTTTGCACATTACCATGCGCAGTGGCAAAAAGATCCTTGTACTTCCTCAACCTTGCAAGTCGCTATTGGGTGAAGACGAGTAGAGTGTCTTTTCATCATTAGGATATATATATATATATATGCTGCAATGGAATTAAGCATATGCATAAGATGATGCAATCTTGATCTCCTTTGCGTGCATGATATTCATGTAAATTTTGATATGACGCTGCGAGATTTGAGGCAAGGACTTGTGCTTATGTGAAAGTATGAAGTATGTTATTATTACTGGGTTTCTTCTACTATGCGATGGCCTGATTGATCGTAGCAATAAAATCAATGAGTAGGAGAAAATAAATTTATAGCCGATTTCTGGTTTTAATCCCTTTTCAGTACTTTTTATATTGTAGTGTTTGATATTTATTCCCCCCCCTAGTCTTTCCACTCGATTATGACCCCGACAGTTCATCCCAGATGAACCATAGTGGTAAGAGAAAGTTATTCGAAAGAATCATTATCTTCTCAGGGATTTATTCCATCTCCGTTTCTAATATGGAATGTGGAACTTACTATTTACTATTCTCTAGTTAAACATACTATTTACTTTGATGTAACAAACAGGACAGGACCGTGAGATTACGTGCAAACAAGCAATAAAATATAATACCCTACCACGAATCTTTCACCCACATATATGTGATTCCGTATATAAAGACAGGCAGGCAGGCTACTTGCTAGTACATTGAATACTATGTATGTACATGCATATCTGCTCAAGACTGCTATTATTCTAAGATTACTTGGGGATCCTCTATTTTCAATTTATCGTTCATCGCTGCTTGAAGACACTGAGGGAGGGACTTTTCTATGTCCTCTTATATGAACAACATAGCGATGGGTGAAATATGTAATAGCATTACTACATTACTACATAAACGCTCTGTCTACCTCTCTACGAAGAGAGAGAAAAACAGCACTTTACCACCCTTAAATCAATCATCCAGCACCAGTATCTTTCTCGATTACTATGTAGTATTTCCAATACGTATATGCATACTAGGTAGATGAATGAAATCTTCTCGCTTTACGAACTTCTTGCTCTGTGAAAGATAATCTGAGTATGTATCTGTACATTTATTTAAGGAGATCTAATTAAAGCAGAATAGCCCATCCTTCTTTCCACTAATTATTAGCCGGCATTACTTTACTTTGCCAGGTTAAGCTCATGAGTATATATATAGCTTACCCACCCGAACTTTTTTGGGGAGTTTTTTTATACATCAAAACTTCCAATTCTAAAAGGCATCTTCGGAAATATCTCAGGTGAAGCTGTACAAAGAAAATAAAACTTAATCCCTAGACGGCTACCACGAGCCATCCATCCGTCTTGAGGGCGAATACGAATATAATATCGAAATAAAAGATTCCGAAAGCCCCTATAGCTATTACACACCGCGGATAAACTTAAATTAATAGATTCTCTCGCGTCAGCCAGCTGATTCCTTCCTAAAAGTAATGTTGGCCTCGCTTATACACGCATCCGAAGCAACTTCTCACCGCCGCCATCATACACCATGTCACATCACATCATGTCAAGTTCGTCGCGGTGTTGTGGTTAGGTGTTTTTATGTAGTACGCTGCTGCGTTGTAACTAACTGCCTTTGTGGTGTCGTGGAGTGTTATGTGGGATATTTTTGGTGTGATATGATATGATGATTGCGGAAGGGGAGGGATTTAGCTATAGAAGGTGCTTGCTTGCTGGTGAGGGGTTTCATGTTAGAAGAGTCAACTTCGAGCTCTAGGAGTATGTACGATTTGATTTTGGGAATTTTGGGGATTTTGAGGTTCGTTTAACGGAACGATGGATTTTCGCATTCGGGGAAGAGGAAAGAGGAACGCAAGAGAAGTGTGAGTGGATTTGTGGTGGGGATTATGAGGATGTGATGAGTTTTGCGTGTGGGGATTGAGGAAGTGAGGGCTAAGATTAGAATGAATGGGGAGCAAATATGGTGAGTGTTGCGGTTTTTTTTGAGATCAATCTGCATTTATCATCGTGGGGTGAGGTGAGCCAGGAGCTTTTGAGGTTGTTGATATAAGAGCATTTAGAGAAAGTGTTAAAGTGAATGGTTCCTGCGTAGCACGTGCACAGGGCACTAGTCCTGTTAGGACTAGATTGAGAAGCTCTCTTACAGAGAGCTTCGCACTTCCGTAGAACTTAGAAGAGAGATTAACCTACTACACCAATATTACCTCAGCTCTGCCCTATCAGCTTCCCACTATTCCCTGTGTGAGGTCATTCCTTTTAACAGAAAGGATATTTCTATACGAAGAGAGCAATAGCATATCGTATTGGTAGTGATGATTTCCTATGACATGCCGAAATGAGAATAGTACAAGTAGCATCTGAAGCTCATAGGCGAGTCCGCGCGGTGAGTAGAAAAGCTATCCACCTTCCTCATCAAAAAGTTGGATTATCTAAATACGTCTATCCCCCTGCTCTCCGAATTTATCGTCAAGGATAAGGAACGAATATATGGTGCATCTGTATTACTCACATAGAACTTTCTCTTCTGCTGTAAGTATTCCTACGAACATTCGTATCCCAGTTTAGAATTTCTAACACTTCCCACGAGATGTCAAAATGATATTTGACTGAGGCTCAACTTTCCAATACTCCTTGGACGATTTTTGTATGTTTTTCACATTCACTTTTAGGAGTTCTGAAGTTTTGATAATCTATGCATCTCTTAGAGAATGAACGGGGACTTGTAAAGGATTCTGCGGTGACATGGTGAAGCTCTAGCACCCTAGGCGGACACATTAACTCCTTGGATATGTGATGCATACCTGCCATACCAGGATGAAAAAGAAAAAGATTTATTAATTATATACACAGAACGAAATGAATTACTTTGTCATTTCTGCTACAGATCCGACGTGCTCGGTTGCTCTGATATTAAGCATAGATGAAAGTAGATGCTGAACGACTTGTTATGGAAGTCATAGATGCGAGTTCGTGTATCCTTCGGAATACTCTCCTTTTGAAGGGAGCAATGGTATGAGATTTACTTGCAAGCATGCAGAAAAATATCATCCTAATACTCATCAGAAATAAAACTCACTGGATGCCATTAATGAATCCCACTTGGGTTTCCGAATCTCAGAAATGCTTCAAAGTTTGGCGTAATTCCGTTCCTTACAACGAGGTACACTTTCCCCAATATCTTCAAATCATTCTTTCATTAATCACATCATCATTTATCCTTTAATATAATTAGAAGAATTTGATGGTTTTGAGTACTTCAAACGGCTAACAACTTGCGAGCATTTGACAACTTCCCCACTAACCTCTGGAATGAAGCTAACAGAAAATTTTAAGTCTACATATCAATTCGAAACAACTTCTTTTAAGATCTCACCTCTCCCGTGAAACCTAATCATTGTTTCATTCTTTGTCTCTTTCGAATTATCGTTGATGTTTATTTGTACCAATTCCAATAGTTACGTCGTAAAAATACCACCTTACTAGCCCCTCGGTTAGCGCATCCCACAGAGAACAGAACATTTTGATATCGACAACCTCAAGAATCGTAATTTTTACCTCATCGAAGACCCCAACCCTCCCCGCCTCAACCACATTTCGATCATTTCTGCAAATATGGCGCCCGCGACGCAGCAAGTATTCATCGACGGTACTTTCGCCGATTTGGCACAAGAGCTGGCTGAATACCTTCAAATCGGCCCAGAAGTTCAACCCCTCCTCGAAGAAAACCAAAAGGATGAAGCTCTCAAGAAACTCGTCACTGCTTCGGCTTCCTTGAACTCATCTCCAGAGAAAGAATTTACTGCCGCATACAATTTATTGGTCTATCTTTGCGTCCAATCTCCAAATGTCAACATGTATCTTCCAAAAATTTGCGACAACCTCGCCAGACCAATTACTTCTTCACCACTAAATGGACCAGGCCTTGCGCTGAATGTTATGACTACAATTTTCAACCTTTTACAACCAGATAATGAGACTAGATTTAATGTCTTTCAAGCCGTTCTTAAACTCATTAAGACTAGTGGAAATTACGAAATGTTGCGACCACAGTTGAAGAAATTGGACACCTGGATTGTCGAATGGGGTATCGAGGAGGAGGATCAAAGAAAACTTTTCGAGATGATCTCAGAAGTGGCAGATGATTCAGGAGAGGAGGAGTACGTTTAAACTCAATCCTGAATGCTCGAGGATATCTTACTAATCGCTACATATAGGGAATCATACCAATACATTCTCAAAGCCCTCCGCACTTTCGACGGTAAAGACGAGAAAGCAATTGCATCTGAAGAAGCCCAAAAACTCGCCATCAAAGCATTAAGAACTGCCCTCCCTTCAAACACCCACTTCGATTTCCACGATCTCACTTCCCTTCCCGCCATCCAAGCTTTGAGCGATTCCCACGCAATCTACTCAGAACTGCTCGAAATTTTCGCCGAGAAGGAACTCGAGGACTACAATGATTTCCTAGACGAGCACGATGGATTTGTCGAGAAGGAGAACCTAGACAACAGCAAGTTGCACCGCAAGATGCGACTCCTGACCTTAGCTAGCTTGGCCGCTTCCACGCACACCCGCGAACTCGAATACCGACGCATTTCCAAAGCTTTGCAAGTCGCCCCTGAAGACGTAGAGATGTGGGTAATTGATGTTATCCGAGCCGGCCTGGTCGAGGGAAAATTATCACAACAGAAGCAAGTTTTCCTCATTCACAGAACCACATACCGTGTATTCGGCGAGAAGCAATGGCGCGAGGTAGCCACGAGGTTGGATCAGTGGAAAGAAAGCTTGAGAGGTGTAAAGGAGGTTATTAGCAGGGAGAGACAAGCGGCCGAAAGTCAAAAGGAGAAAGAAATCCAAGAGGCTGATAAGAAGGTTTCTGGTGCCCAGGGTATGAATGCTGGTCGAAGAAGGGATAACATGGTTGAAATGGGTACTGATTAGATATTATATCAACTCATTGAAAGTTGATATGTATTAATTCATGGATTTGATTGGTCTTCCCCTCACCTCAAAAGAAAGAAAAAAAGGTTCCTCGTTTTTGTCGGCGTTACTTAGATGTTTGTACAGTGGCAAAGGCAAAGGCAAAATGGTTGTGTTTGCATTATTAGCATCTGGTAATGATGTAGGAGAGGAACATCCCATTATTTTCATCTTCACAATTGAAGCCACGAACGAATGATATGAGGCCATGATAAAAGACGTGGAGTGAAAAAAAAGAAGATAAGAAAGAATAGATTTTCTACGTATTGAATTGAATGAGATAGATGTACATTTGAACATGCCTTTCTGATGTTTATGATTTTTTTTTTTTTACAAGTACAGTACTAGGTGTGTATGTATGTAATGTGAATGACAGATGTCTACTATCTCAGGTTCATATTGTAACTTTCCGTTCTGTGCTGTACTGATATACGCGCCCCTTTTCATACTCAGTATGATAAATTTTTTGAGTTTCCTGGTCTATATCCCGATTATACATCACCCAAATATCTATTAAAGTCCCTTTCCATGCAATCTACCCATATCCATCCATATGCATATCCATATCCATATCCACTTCCTTCCTTCCAACCCTTATACACCATCCCATCACACTCCAAGCCCCCCTTCCTCTCCCTAAAACGTCTTCCCCAATTTCTCCTCCAACTTCCTCCTCGTCTCCTCATAAACCCCCTCAGGAGTCTTCGTAGCATCAATCTTAATAACGCGACCTTGTCTATCAAAATAATCCACAACAGGCATACTCGTCTCTACAAAAACCTTAAACCGCTTCTGGATACTCTCAGCATTATCATCTGTCCTTCCACTCGTCTTGCCTCGTTCCAGTAACCTCCTTTGCATTTCCTCTTCTGGACAATCATAGAACAATACATATCTGCCTTTACACACCGTATCCTCAAATTTATGCGCCTGGTCTAATTTTCGCGGAAATCCATCGATTAAAAATTTACCTCTTCCATTAGGTGATTTGGATATTACATCCGTCATGGCGTTTTCGAGGAGTTGGACGGTTACTTCCATGGGGACTATGAGTCCGTTTTTAATGTAATCTTTTATCATTTCGCCGAATTCGGAACCTGAACGTTCTTGCTCGGCTCGGAGGAGATCACCGGCGGAGAGATGCGTGAAGTTGTAGTCGCGTACGAGATTGGCGCATTGTGTGCCTTTTCCTGCTCCGGGGCCGCCGAGAACGAAGAGGATGGTTACTTTTTCGGGGGAGAAGGTTGGGATGGGTTTTTTGGGGGAGGGAAGTTCGGGGATTGGTGGTGTCATGTCTGTGGTGGGTTGTGTTGTTAGTTATGGGTTTATTTGAGTAGAGGGTAGAAGATTGTGGAGGTGGGAAGGGGGATTTTGGCAGATAGATTGTGGATGGATGAGGAGATTCCCATGTGTATGACAATGAGCTCCAAGCCTCAATAAAACTTAAAGCGGCTCTCGAATTCTTCATCTCATCTCATCTCCTCGCTCCAATCCAATCTAATCCATAACACCATATCAATCCCACACCCCTCATACATCCATAACAAAACCAATTAAACACCAAAACCAAAAATAACATAAAATAACACAACATACCAGTACCAGCTCTACTCCTAACCATCAAAGCATAAGCACCACTTCCCACCAAAGTAATAGCAACAAAAGGCCAGATCTTCAACGGACTCTTACTAGGACCTCCTGTCGAATACCCTCTATTTGATTTAGGGTGTGCGTGGAATTGAGGACGGAAAGGACGAGTACGAGTGCAGGTTCGAGGGAGATGGTGCAGAGGTGATGAGGTTTGGAAGAAGCGATGTGAGAATCGGGGCAGTGGTTGTGCCATTTTGAGTGTGGTTGTGGTGGTCGTTGTGCTGGATGTGGAAGACGAGGTGTTGGCTTTGCATGTGCATGGGAGGGAGGGAAGTTTAGCTTAGCTTATTAGCTTTGGTTCTGGTTTGGGTGAACTAGGCTAGACTCGCGTAGGGGTTTTTGGTTTAGCTAGGGATGAAGATGACCGTGCAGGGAAATTGGTAACTTCATTTCCTCCCCTATTTATTTTATTTTTGCTTAGATTATTATGGATTATGTCCTTTCAATACGTAAATGGACATTTTCTAAACAAATTGCGTGCGAATTTTACTGTGAATTTGTTGATTTTAGACGGATGATATTATGGAGGTAGATATAAAAGGAAGGGCAATAGGTTTGTGTCTGGGATAAAGACAGCTCAGGTTAGAGGATACTGGTGATAGATTGCACGCAGTTATGGTGGATATTTTAAGATCTACTTATGATGGTATTTGATGAGATGATGATATCTTCCACTTTGCGAAATAGGAGGGTGATCGAGTCGGGAGAGCTATGATGGTCTTGTAGGTAAGGGGAGGGGATCGTGTGGAATGAGGCTCTGCATAACGAATATAGGTAGGTAGGTGAAATGATGCCAGGTATAACCAGATCATCATCGTCGTCGATCTTCATATAGAAATACTCCTGCATTTCATCTTTCTAATTTGCTAGCAGTCTTTCCGCACATCCATATTTGAGCCGGTGTCATTTACTTGCCGGAGTATCTTAGAGTGTGCTTGGGGCGAGATTACGTTTCTGAGTGTAGATGTGGTAAAAAAGTTTGCTAGAATGATTAGGGCTATTGTTTTGAGTTTCTGAGAGATATCTAAGTAGAGTCCCACTCATATACTTGAAACGGATTTGCAGATTAAATGTTGGATGATCATTAGTACTTCGACGATCTCAAGACCCAAGGGGTATGACATGAGATACTGAAGAGCTCACATGCTGTCAAAAGGTGAAGTGAAATTTTCATTACAAGAGTCACGACACGAATCAAAGAATGAGGTTATCAAATTTTTAGTATTCACAGCTCTGCATATCGACAGTCTTGTTGATTTAATAGGTTTGCAATGAAGTATCATATGTACAAGAGAAGTCGATGTCAAAGCCTCATCCACCCTCTGTAAAAAGTCCAGCAGCTCCGTCATTGAACCAAATCAGCCATCTAACCTGCGGATTTGCAAGTGTAGATCACATATCGGGTATCTCGTCGCTGAGTTACGAAAGAAGAAAAAGGTATGTCATTAGGCCGCATTATCGAAAAGAAGTGTAGACGCCATCATTAAAGATCTCGACGCCATTTGATACTCGATCAAGGAATTTAGATGAACTGATTGAAGATATTAGTTTGGATATAAGAGTAGGAGGTATAGAAGGAAAACTTACAAGAGCAACGGCACCAACAACAACCATTCCGAAAGCGGAAACTTGGACGTGACCAGCAGCACCAGTAGCGTAAGCAATTGGCGAGCTGGTTCCGCTTGGGGAGGTAACGACACCGGAGGAGGCAGTTGGGGCAGCAACTCCACTGGGTGCAGCAACACCGGATGGGGAGGATTCGCCAGAGGAAGATCCAGCACCGGTGGTGATACCAGAGGATTCTCCAGCGGAAGATCCAGAGGAGGGAGCAGAGCTGGAGATACCAGTTGAACTTGGGCAAGCGTAGACGGTGACAGTCCTGTGAATATTGTTAATATTGTTCGATCTAGATTTACAGTCTCAAAAACTTACTCAGTGGCAACTGCGACGGAGGCCATGGCGGCAATGGTAAGGGCGAGGATGTTGAACTGCATTTTGATAGATGGAGGTTTTATTGATTTGATTTTTGGTTTGGGAGTTGTTAGATGTTAGATATTGGATCTTGAAGAGGTTGATTGAGTTTTTGTAAAGAGTGTGAGATTACTATTGTTGTTGATGTAAAAGAGTGTAACTGATCGATAGATAGAGAAAGGAAGAAACAAAAAAAAGAGCTCGAAACTGAGGACGAAGCAGTGTCATATATACTAAGTATCTACGGTCTGTACACGCGTTTAATCTGTCACGCATAGAGGACCATAACCAATGAGCATGCATCGAAAGTGAAATCCCGGATGATTTCCCCTTTGATAACGAATTCCCTCCCCTGTTGACCCACTGAGTGAATGTTTCCCGACCCACTAGACGGAGATTGAGAACTTCTATCATCTGCAATTCTCATTTCTTTTGCATTTTTGGAGTGGGAAATTACTTTTTTATTTATTAGAGTGGTAGGTAGGTAGGTGTCTAGAGTAGTAGGTGCATTTCATGGTAATAATGAGGGAGGGCATTGGTTGATGTGATTGGAAGTGTAACCTATGGTGATACTATTGTAATCTCTTCGTTGTTCCTGTTGTACACCCCATTTTGTTTGTTCTTGATTCACTCAAGCTGGGTAGGCAGGTACAGCTGATTAAATTTCTCTATACCTACTTGGATATAGATTGGTTTATTTGGTGGTGATAATTTCTGTGGTATTACTGGTATGGTGACATGGTTATGGATATTCATTCCCCTTGTGATTGAGAAGGTCTGGATGGGTGATATTATATTTATTACACGTTTATATGTACTTCCGTACACTACATACCTAGGTAGTTTATGAATTCATCTATTGTCGTAAGAGTTAAATCTTCACTCTATCCTGTAGAATGCTTGAAATACATTTATCTATTTTAAGTGCTGATTGATTGCCATACATCAGCCTTCACAGCACTAAACAATTCACCCAGATACCACGCCACCCACGACCACAATAATCACAACCAAACCCTCAAATATCAAATATCAACATCAAAATCATTCCTGTATGTACTCCAGAAATCTAGACGAATCACAAAAGACGAGTGAACGGGTACTTACAGGGCTATAGCAGCTATCGCTTCGATTTATGCGGACCCCCTGCTACCACTTAAGATTAAACCCCATATTGTTTCTCAAATGGCGAGAACTGGACTGTACTGCACTGCAGTATACTGGTTCCTGCATTTTGTAACCTTGGGGATAGTTTGATATGTCTGTCTGTTTATCGCGATAACATGGCTCGGCGTGGCATTGGCATGGTATGGTATGGCAGTATGAGATAATAAGACTTTATTCTCTGATGTTTTTTTTTTCTCTTGAGTCTGGGTATAAAAGCTAAATAAACTTTCTATGTGTATATATTTTGCGAATGCCTCTTATCGGATGGATGTATTGATTACCTAGATTTAGATACCGTGGAATATAATATTAATCCCTCAATCACCTGTAGTATACGTACGTATTGCACATTCAAGGCTCGCAAGATCTTCATGAATCTAATCAGGGCTTTCAAGTTTCTTTCCATGAACTTCTGCCAGAATATTATCTCTCCTAACATCTCAATATATTCCTCATATAAAACCCCCCTAGCTACCGACCTACCTAGGTAGGTACCTACTAAAATCCTTCCTGACCGCTACGATTAATATCCACAGATCTATCGTAGACTTGACACAAACAAATACCTCCGAGATGAAATTCCAAATGAGCAAAGAACCCCCTCCATACATTCCCTGATACCAAACTCCCAAAATCTCAAAACCACGAATAATATCCCAAATATCGTTATCACATCATTTCGTTATCTTATTGATCGCATCCAGATTGCTAGATATTTAAATGAGGGCTTTCGCGTCAGGTCTCAGATCTATAGTATATGTAAGACTTGCGGATGTTTCTGATCGCTTAGCTAGCTAGTTAGTTTGTTGCTTGTATGTATGTATATGTATGTATGTAACATTATGTCTTAACTGGTAGGATGGTGGATAGGATGAGATAGAGGAGAAAGTGGATATGTCTTAAAGGGGTTTTTTATCTGAAACGAATCAATTGAAGTGGGCAGAGGGTGATCAGTGTGTACTCTGTAGATATTGATATGTTGAACCCGGTACCGTTAGGTTAACGTTCGAATTCTCGACTGTCTGTCTACGGAGTAAACGACCACATATAAATTAGTAGGAGCTTTCCTAGGAGAAAAGAAAAAAAGGAATGGTGTATTTAAAAGCAATGATAATTTCCGTCGTACACCAAACTTCTCAGGCTTATTATACACATAGTCGTCATCATCATCTCTTGCAATTTTAATATCGAGTGTCTTTAGAAGCTAGAAGCCCAAATACGTACACTTAACTTCACTTCAACCCCTAGATTAAATCTCCTGGATCTAATCAATCGCAAACCAAACCCTAATAAATAGTAGAGTTCGCAGAATAAAGGCGGTGAATATAGTTACTAGAAATTTTGGATAAAATTCTCAATCTATGGGATTTTATTAAGGCTGGGCTAGGGTTATAGATTTAGGAAGATTTGTTTTAGGACTATAACTTTATGGGTCATTTCAAAGTACAGTACTCGAGTACACCAGTACTCTGTATATATTCGATCGAGTGATCGAGCGACGTCAATTCTAGCCAATAAGAGTAGTGCTTTTCTAGGAAGATGATCGGTCAATCTTTTCGGGTTTAATAAGTATCCAAGGTGTCTATCGCTATTCCGTAACATAGCTTTTAGTAATAGCGGCTTTGAACGGCGAGAGTAGGTACTGGCCTACAAACAAATACCTACTCAATGAAACCCGAGTCCATCAGGCGATCGCAGCTCTACGGTTGAGGCTATAGCATAAATCCCATTAAGGTAGCTTTTATGGTATGATGTAATACAAAGGAGTTCTTGCTTTAACCAAGTAGAACTAAACTACCTCAATCATCCCTAAGCTCATCTCAACATGCAATTGCAGACTCCAAGGTCAATCAGTCCATACCCGCTCCAGAGCTCCGACTCCCGTTGGCTTGCCATTACGCACCGCACCCCCTTTTCCACTCGTCCTTCTTCTACGGCGTCAAATCATCAAGATTTATTGCTGTCCTACCTGCTCTACACGCCTAGCTCAGAGAGTTAATGTTGTGTTTTACGACATTGAAAATCAGCGCGACGTGATGGATACAGGCCGTCGAGCGTATCGAGGGTGAGCCAGCGGAAGAGGATGTTAGAAATGATGAAGATGCTCTAGACTTGGACCTCAAATTCGATTTCGAGGAATGGTTCTGGACTGAGTACTCCTTGAGTGGTAGCTTCTACGGATGAGCTATTGAGGAGTATTCATATTGCCAATGACAGCTTGAATGGGACGAGTAAAATTGTTCAGCTTTACTTACTATTTCTTAACCACCGCACACTCTTCTTTTCCTTTTCCATGCGATGCATATAATTATTCCCTACCGAGCTACTAATGAATAACTATAATTATGTTTCCCCGCATCAATCAACTATGCAGCCGAGTCATTGAGGTTGGAAACTCCGCGTCCAGTTTGGTCATCCAGCTGCCGTTTCAACTTCAAGTTGAAACCATGACGGGACCCGATATTAAACTAGGAATACTATTGGAAATGTGGTTCCAGATGTTCTGTTTATGTAATACATATAGAGCTGCAGAAATCTCCTACTGTACTTATTCAGCCTCAACTACTTCTTCTTTCAACAGCCCAAATTGACAACATAGATCCCAGCCTTTACTTTCAACAAAGATCCATTTCCGTCACCGCCGCCTCCCTTGTAGTGTACGCCAATATCATTACACACAGCCCCAGGACTTATGTCAATACATACACTTACTTATACAGACTCGATCCAGAGTTTACCTTTTATCTCATTTTACATGTAAGTTCTGAGATCTGCATACAATTTAGATGACATTTTTAAGCTTGCATCATACACTCAGTGGGTGATATACATAAATAGCCTCTCGACGTACCAGCTGCACAGAGGGCCCAGACTCCACTCAATCATTTATTCATTCATTACTTTGAAATCAAATTCCTTTCCCTAATATTCCTCCATATCCGAGCCCACTTTCGGGTCTGTCGCAGTATCTCTCTGGTTGTAATAGATGGTATTAATCCGTACTGAAAGTCATTACCTCCGTATCACAAAATTAATTGACGATTTGGATTTGATTGATTAATTTTGTATTAATTAGTTTTAGTACTTATTTATATTTATAGAATTATACCTATAATCGAGTTTAAAACCCAGTTTTTAAAACAATATTAAAAAAGGAAATACAATCAAAAATTATTTTTTATTATTGTTTTTTCCTACTCTGTCTTGATATGTAGGTATCAAACAATCTTAAATGAGATATATACCTAGGTAGGTGAAGTCATCTTGCAAGAATCGATTCCAACAGTGAGTGATAAACTTGTTGTTCGATTGAATACTTGAATACCTCATACAGAATAAGCTGTTTGCCATTATTGCTGATTGCTCAGTTTAGGTATACTCATATCGAATCTACATCAATTGCAAGCGTCTGTTACTGATAGGTAGGCCACTTTGAGTACAATGCGCCAAATTTCCACCTCCCTTCTTATAAAGGTGATCTTACCCTCCTCAACAAACCAAAGTAGATTTGACCTAACAGTTCTCTCTTCGGTCTAACGCGTTTTTTAACCAGAGATATACGACAAGAATCACATCACATCATATCATATCATATTATTTTGCTTTGCTTTACTTTGCTACGTTTGCCTTTCGACACATTCATTGTAAGTCTCTCAAAGTGGTGTATTTGGAAATAATGACATCGAGTTCCGAGTATGGCTCGTCACAGACTAATCGTTCGCGAATCATCAGGTGACGAAAGACGAAACAGATTTTTCCTCCAATGTGGAAAGGTCTGCGCCTTCTTTTCCTACAGCGGTTAGCGATCAACCCAGTGCCCGTCGATGCTGAAGTTACTTATCCCGAGGGAGGTCGTGAAGCCTGGTCAGTGGTGCTAGGCGCCCGGCGTGGCTTAACCATATCATTAGGTATGTACAATACAGCCGGAGTATTCGAAGTCATCAGTCATCTCGGAATCTATATTAATATTACCAGAAAAATCTTCATCTACTCTTGGCTCGATCCGGATATTCTCCATCTACGACTTCCTGAACTAGATCTGTGCGATGCAGATTGAACCAACCTTTGATGCGATAGGTCCTCGTGGACTACTCATTGCAATTACAGGAACTATTTGCACGCTCATTGGTATTTTCGCGCTTATTGTCTGTATGGGTAAGATTAGTCTTCCTACAATACTCCACGCATAAAACATTTTAGTATGGAGGCTGCTCTCAAGGTCGCTCACTTGCTTGCTGCTGAATCTGCTCTTATTGAGGTCCCTCGGATCTTCTCGAAGGATCTGTTCAGCACTAGTTGTTCTAAAAGATACTGTGATATCCTCCTATCATTCTCCATATTGACTAGTATCTGCTCATCCCTTCTCATCACCCCGTCGATGGGGTGCATCGCTCATTAGTTCATAGAGCGTCGCGATCTCACCAGCGGCATAGCTTTTATAGGAGGTAGCTTCTCCGGCGTTCTATTTCCCCTTATGATACAGTCACTCCTCCCTCAAGTTGGATGGGGATAGTCGATCCGAATTCTCGGCTTTGTGCTGCTCGTGCTCTGCGCCACATGCATTAACGTGAAATTTTGCCAAAGCAGAGTTTCCCCCCCCCCCCGCAAAGGAGCAGCAACTACTTGGCAGATACAATACCAGACCTACAGATCTTCATGGATAGAACAGGAGCCATGGCTATCACTATCGCTGGAGTCTTGTAAGTGTCAACTCAGCGCAAATATCTCATTTCTGTGATTTTTCCAGGTGTTGTGTCACAATGTGCCTACAACTTCTGGACTCCTAGAATATTCCAATCCTCCTGAAAGCCTGTAAATTAGGCATACTAACTCCGAGATGCTGATCTATAGCTTGATAGATCTAGCATATTCCATACCCATCACATATACACCGAGCTATTACATCGATCGACAACATCTGTCTCAAGAGGAGGCCTTGACTGTGTCAGCGACATTTGCATATCAACTTCTTGGAATTCTTAATGCTGCTTCATGCATTGGCTGGTACGTACGTAGCGAGCGACCTAGCCGATCGATTCGGGCGCTACAAAATTATGATTATCTCATTGTTCCTCTGCACGATATTAGTTCTGAGTTTTTGGTTACCAGACGAACTCTTACTCAACCTGAGTAATGACGTACTCTTAGTGGTCTTTATACTACTATTTGCATTGTGTGTCAGCGGTTCCAGTATCAGCCTAACACCAATCTGTCTAGGTCAGCTTTGTGAAACTCAAGATCTAGAATATGGGCGATACTACACAAGCTGCTATACAATAGTAGCTTTTAGTATGCTAGGAAGCATTCCAATTGCTGGAGGCCTCCTTGATACGGTACAGACTACAAGGAAAGAAAGGTATTGGGGCGTTGTTCTTTTCACTGGACTTAGCTATGTGGCCGCCCTGCTGTGTTTTATATGGGTTAGGATCAAAGTAAAGGGACGGGGTTGGAGGATAAAGTAGTAGAGAGTTAATCTTGCAGTGTTATAAGCAGGGCTAGCTTCTTGATTTTCCTCTTTTGCGCCTACTGGAGCTTGCCCCTCTCATAGGGCAATTCTGAGATTTACCGTTATGGTTGACTTATAATACTGTAGTCAATTTGGTCCTTTGCCTTTTCGTCCATGCACATCGCGCAAGCCGTCAAGGGATTGAGAATTAGTATACAGAGATGTGAAAACCCCCGAGCTGAAAACCGAATCTTGAAATTTGAAAATATAATATCTTCAAATATATATGCTTAATTTAATATCAATAAAAATAAAACAACTTTTCTTACATATAAAATTGAAACAAAAAAACAATTTATTTCAGAATCTAATATTTCATCATCGCTCATCTCGTCAACTATTCACTATTACTCATAATCAGGCGATTGAGGAAGAAGTTACCTGTAAATAAAATAAAATATAACAAACAACAAAAACAAATATATAACAATACTATATCGAAATTATCCATCTACTTACTCATATACCTATCTATTTATCTATTTATTTATCTATCCTTTCATTCCTTGAATAAGAGACATTAGATTGTAAAGGGTTTTGATGGGATTAAATAATTGTGAGGACTTCCTCTGTCTACGATGAATGAAAGCAGATACACGATGTAGAGTTCGAACAATCAGAGTATAAATGGAAAAAGAAGCGAGACATACATTCATACATACATCCAATCACATCTTATTGCCACAAGATTTAACACAAGTTCATTCCAAGCATTCAGGATATCTTATTTTATTTTATAAAAGAAGCTTTCATTTAGCTATCACAAATACGAGAAAAACCACCATCCAAACATATGTATGGAAATCCTTCATGAATAATCGTATCTATCTATCAATTTCATGCCTTCCTACCAGGTATCTAGTTTGTCGTGTAGCGCCCACTAACCATCATTTCAGAGCTTGTTAGGAGCGGTTTGTGTAGTTGGCCATTGATAACCAGCTGCGTCACTGAACTTATAACCGTAAGAAGATGTGAAGTCATCCAAGACAGCAGGTCCACGAGAGCCTATTATGTCATTAGTTTTATGTTGGGTCAGGAGTGGAAAGGTTATGTCAAAAATTTCTTACCGTATGGATATTCCATAGGAATAATCTCCTTGTTGTCATCAAGGTAATGTAAGAGTGGTGTGAAAATTCTCCAACTTGCATCAAGTTCATCATCACGAACAAAGTTGGAGTGATCACCCTTAAGAGCATCGAGAATGAGGGATTCGTATGCTTCTGGGATCTTAAGATCCGAGAATCGGCGGCGGTAAGTTAAATCGAGTTCGGTAACGACAGTTTGCATGCTCAAACCTGGCAACTTGGAGTTCATCTTAATATAGACACTCTCGTTTGGTTGAATGCGCATGACAAGCTCGTTTCTTGGGATATCTTTGAAGATACCAGAGGTGACATCCTTAAATTGAATTCTGATCTCGGTCTTTTGTTCGTTAAGAGCCTTACCAGCCTTCAAGATAAATGGTACACCATCCCATCGCTCGTTCTTGATGTATGCGACCATAGCACAGAACGTTGGGCATCTTGAATCCTTTGGTACTGTGTCATCTTCCTTGTAAGAAGGCTTAGTTCCATCTAAAGATTTGCCATATTGACCAATGATGACATTCTTTGGTTCGATTGCTGGGATACCACGAAGGACTCGGACTTTCTCGTCACGAACATCCTCAGCAGAGAATGAAATTGGCCTCTCCATAGCGAGGAGGGTGAGGACTTGTAGAAGATGGTTTTGCATGACATCTCGAATGATACCGAATTCGTCAAAATAACCTCCTCGGCCTTCAGTTCCAAAAGGCTCCTTGAATGTAATTTGAACATTATCAATGTGATTTCTGTTCCATGTAGCACCAAAAAATTCGTTACCAAATCTCAAAATCAAAATGTTTTTAACCATCTCCTTTCCGAGGTAATGATCAATACGGAAAATCTCATCTTCCTTCCAGTTTGGCTCCAATGCCTTTTGCAACTCGCGGGAACTTCCCAAATCCTTTCCAAATGGCTTCTCAACCTATAAGTTATTAGCATTCGTCAATCGGGTGTGGGGATTAGGAATCGTACAATGATTCTTGCAACGCCAGTTTCTGGGTAAGTGTTTGCTTTCAATTGTTGCGAAACAGTAGTGAAAACAGACGGAGGTAAAGCCATGTAAAAGATTCTGTTGGCCTCTTTTCTTCCCTTCTCGAACTCTTCGCAGTGTTTTCGTAACTCGATAAAACCCTCTGGCTTATCGTATTGCCCGGAAATGTATGTGCAGATGTCGCAGAATTCTTGAAGTTGTTGTTCCATATCTTTGGTGGGAGTCTTGATATATGATCTAACTCTCTTAATATATTCCTCGTGGTCCATCTTTGTTCGCGCATATCCAATGATTCTGACATCTTTTGGAAGGAACTGGTTACGATACTGTAGTGGTATTAATACTGAATTTCTTGGTTAGATGCATCTTGCACCACTTACGAGACCGAAAAGAGCTGGGAACTATTATCATGTGTGTTAGCGAGAAAAAAGACGCAGTTGGTATGAATTTCCTTACTGTCTTCTTCTTTGCAAGATCACCGGATGCCCCCAATACAATGATAACAGTGTTGTCTTTCAGCTCGAGAGATCTGTAGTGGGGCAAACGCAATCAGTAATAACTCGGATCACACGGGATTGAGATGTCTGGATGAAGAATGGGAAGTAAGAATTTCATTAGAGCTCCAGGGACTCATATTAGCCTTCTTAATGTGTATATTTCGCATGTGTAAGAGGTTTGGTTGAAGAGAAAGACCTCGAGTGAAGTAGGTAGATGTGTATAAACCGACTTACCCAGCATTGCCAGACTCCTCTGGTTTGATAACAGTGTCGGCCATTGTGTATGCTTTGGCTGTGAAATGTAAAATAAAGAAGAAAGAGAGAAACAGTTAGATAATTGCTAAAGATCAACGAGACTTTTAAAAGAAGAAGGATTGAAGGTTGTAAGTTGTGAGGGAAGCTTGAGAAAAATGTTGGGTTTGTCCGCTTTTGATGAAAGACTCGACCCCGCTAAGAGTGCTGGGACGACGTATGACGGACGAGAAGTATTTCCGGATAGCCTCCGAAGTTAAAAGATGTCTATTTTCAATATATCATGCCCGACCTTACAAATTCGTTAAAGGGGTTCATTTAACCTTTAGATGTATTTGATTATTGATTGTAATAGGCTGATTCTTTTATCGAATGCTTATGTAGGATACGTATTGATATAAGTATAGTGATTAATTCACTATTCAGACCCAGAAGACTTCTTAAATTTATGATGTAATGCTTGGAGTTGCGCTGTAATATTTATTATTGTACAGAGTAATGAGGCAGCTTTGTCTGATAGCCTGTCCTGAGTTCTGAGTCGCACATGAACTTCTTTCTATCCTTCCAAGCAAGTTCTGGTGTTCCAGAGTCCTTGACAGGCCCGATCGCCCCTCATTTATCACCGACCACTCTCATGAACCATTTCTTACGGGTCCGATTATAAAGCCGTAAAGCCCGGTGAAACCTACACCGAATGCTGATAAATCCCTTCAAGGAGTGTCCCCAAATTATCACTTCACTACTATATTTACTATATTTCCTACATCAACACTGACAATGGTCGTCAAGGCATCTGTTACAACTTACGAAAAGTGATATGATTGTATCAAAAAAGGGGTAATAACCCGAATGGCGAACCTTCCACCTGATGCTCACTTGAGCTCTAGACTGTTACTTTCGTACTCGGGGCATTTGATGATTTGTTTTGTGAGTTTCGCTTGGTTTCGATGAATGTGTGTGTATGCCAGGTACTTGGGACGAGAGTTTTCATCCAATATGGAATGGAACAATCATCATTAGATCCAGATCCCCTCCCTCCACTCATTTTTCCTATGGTTACATCACTTGACTCGAAAATCGAAAGGCAGGCTCGGGAAAATCATCTTGGGCTTCAAAGCATCAAGTACAATCAATAATAGACTGAGAACTGCCTATACATTCATACCTCCTTTGCTACCTGCTCCAATCTTACAAACAATCGCTTCTAACCTAATCTCGCATTGAAAGAAAGCGAAGAGAATGAGGAAAATGCATTTCTAAATACCCGGCAAGACGGCCATTTATATAGCTTCGCCAATGATTAATATTCATTCCGTAGCTCGATAAGTCCAGCAACATGACTGGTAACACTGGCTTTCATCTGTTCTTCCTTTATGTGAGTGTGAATAAATGCATCGGAACTTATTCCTCCGTCCCAAACTCTACAACTGAAGGCCTTAAATTTCAGTCAACGCTAAATCACGTTCTATGCTTAGTCACTAATTCGGGCAGCCCTAGTTTTTCGCTAAACTTCTAGGGTTTGCTGCTGAATTTGGAGGAACGAAAAAAACATTCTCGACGCCGACAACATTAACGCCAACCGAACGAAGTCTTCCCTCTCAAATCCACGAGAGACTTTCGCCAAAATGCCTACCGAAGCCGGACACAGACGTGAGTTTCTTGAGTTTTCTTGATTTTGAGATGGCATTGGCTGGTGTACATGGTGTTTTTGGAAGAGGAGGGAGCGAGGGAGCAGAGGAGCAGTTCGGGATGCAGCGAAGTTGCAGTGTTCTTAAGGAGACAGGGAGGCTTGTTATGTTTGAGTCATTGCGACAATTTATGCTGGAATCAATTGCTGACATTTGTGTGCTTTTAGTCTATGTTAAGTAAGTTCACAATTTATTCCGATCAACGAACATGCTCTGGACTCGAATGATGGAATGGCAATATGGAGTTGAGAATTGCGAGGGGAAGGAAGAGAATGAAACGGAATATTTCGACAACGCAAAGATGGATATAGCCGAGATGGATTATTTTCATGGATTTATTGGACACACACTGATATGGATAACTTCAGGGGACGCCACTTGAGCTACCAACGCGGCAAGCGCAACACCACCCCAGGCACCAGCTTGATCCAAATCGAGGGTGTCAACAACACCGAGGCTGCCAAGTAGGTTTTATCACGATATTCGAAAATCTCGATTCTAATGAATATACAGCTTCTACTGCGGAAAGAAGGTTGCTTTCGTTTACCGTGCATCAAAGGAGGTTAGAGGATCAAAGATTAGAGTCATCTGGGGCAAGATCGCTAGACCACACGGTATGAGAGATTGATTCGACTTATCACTGGGATTTAAATACTGATATATATCAAAGGAAACTCCGGTGTTGTACGTGCACGATTCAGACAAAACCTCCCACCAAAGTCATTCGGCGCATCCGTTCGCATCATGTTGTACCCATCATCGGTATAAATGGTTGGTTTGGAGTTGTTAGCATGGACTGGGAGGATGGTTGATGATATGCCATATCTGGGCACTCGAAGAGGGCGGCAAATAATGAGCACAGCCTTGCTGGTAGTATACCAATAAAGCAATTAACCACCACAATGGCCGCATGGGTATATGATCAAAAGTGCATATGGGATCGTCGTGGAAATCTTCACTAGACGTAGGCAGGAGTTATCGATCAATGGTTTCACAATTATATCCAATACGACATGGACAGATGTGCTACTAAATCTCTTGGTCTCATCATGTTATTACGCTTCCACAACGAAAATCGAACTTTATACAATGGTTTGCACGTTTTACCGATTTTCTGGGAACATATATCTGAGGTTCTCCAGACTAAGCATGTCATTTTGATAAACAATGAAATTCGACAGCCTCGCATCGAATGTACATGGAAAATGACTTGAATATGCAGTAGAAATAAACATTGACGTCAAGACAAAATACCGGCATCGGTCGTTCGGCACAAGAAAAATGATATCCCAAGCCGGAATGCATCTTCGGAGGCCGTATGCCCTAGAAGTGATTTAGATATATTAGTATCGTATTCGTTGAAGTGCCCCAGGTCATTAGGTAGATTAGATGGGATTTGGAGTTAGTACCTAGTAGTTCGAACTCGGGATGTAGGATTTAAGGATGATTTTTTGTGTTTTTGTGGATGTGAGAGGGTATGTGAATGTAAGAAGGTAGGTGGGTACTATGTAACTGTGATGAGATTCATTTGTTGTAAGTCTTATATATCCCATCTTATCCTATTCTATTCCATGCCAATCCAATTCATCTTCCCACTTCCCACTTCTCCATTCCCAAAACTATATCTATATCACAGAGCATTTCGGCTTCTTTTTTATCAGATTCCATATCATGGTAATATAATCATATCGAATCAAATTATCTTGTGTTATTCTTGGGGTGTGCTGCATATATATATATCTATCTATAGATAGGTATTTATATAGACGGCAGAATTCGAAACAAGCTGAGTGGAAATAAGGAGTTTTATTTTTGGGTTTTGAATTGGATTGTTTGTGTGGTGTAGTGATGATAGAAGGAATGGAGGGGGTGTGAGTGTGAGTGTGAGAGTGAGGGATGAGATTGTGATTAAGAGGGATGAGATGGTTGGGGGAATGGAGGCGATGATGAAGAGAGGGATGATTATAATGAGATTGAAGGAGAGATTGTGAGATGGGTTTTGGAGTTGGAGTTGTAGTTAGATTCTTGGGTGTAGGAAATATTAGAGGAGGGGGGCATATTAGGAGGAGAGGGGTAAAAGAAGAGAGGGAAAAGGAAGTAATGTAGAAGGATGAATAGATAGATATATATATATATTATATAATAAATTATTCCACATACTCGAGATCTACCTATACCCACCTAAATGTCTATAAAGATAATAGAAATAACAATAAATACCTCCTAGGTACGTACTCTCCATACCTAGGTAGTAATCAAAAACCCCATAAACGGCGATTAAACTAGACTAGACTAGACTAGACTATAACTAGCAGTAGTTAAGTTCCCAATCGAAGTGAGTGTCGAAGTATCGAAGTCCGGGAAAAACGAATGTTTCCGGAAAATGGAATTGTCCCTTTGCCGATTTTTTGATGGAAAATTATATGTGTGAACTGTGAAGATAATTAGTTTCCTAGGTATTAGTACTAGTAGTGTAGTGTAGTGTAGTATATTTATCGAAATCTAGAATTGGGGTTAGCAGGAGATCTTGGGGTTTGGGTTCGGGTACTGGGTGATAGGTGCAAGGTGTGATTATCGGGATATGCTGATTTTTATAGTGAGGGGTGATTTTTAGGGAGTAGTACCTAGGTGAGGTTGATAGGTTGGTAGGTTGGTAGGTTGATAGGTTGGTAGGTTGGTAGGTTGATAGGTCGGTAGGTTGGTGGATGACTCGTTTGTTGTTTTGAAGAATCATCATATTGATTATTATTGGTTATGTAGCTCAAAGCTCAAGCTTAGAGTAGTATTAAAAGTGTCTACCTACCTACATAAAGGAACGTGATATTTCAGCTGGTTGGTGCCCATGTATGCAATTGATTGATATTGATATACCTAATGCTAGATAGATAAGTAGTAATCATATATAATAAATCTGTATTCGTACTTCGTACCGGTACCTCGTACATTATGGATAGCATAGACTAATTAAATACTCTACGTCCGAGAATCCCGATGCCCGATGAGCTGATCTGATCATGGAGAAATGGTGAGAGTAAGAGAGTCCGTAGATACACACTAGAGAGTATTCGTGTTCTTCTTCAGCCACCACCATTTTTTGTGGGGGCAGGTTTGGAAAAATTCTTGGGGATGGACGGATAGAGGAAGTAATAGATTAGGATGTGGATATGAATGAATGGACGGCGAAAATGAAAACAGGATTCTTGGAATTTCTTCTCAGAACTACTGGGGAGCTAGGTATGATATGCTGATGGAGATGAATTGGGTTGGATATGATGGGTTCGGAATCTTCGGGTATTGATTGGCTTGGTTGCGTGATATTAGGTTGGCATTGATGAATGGTTTATGTACCTGATACATTTTGTGTCGTAGGAAGGTAAGGAAAAGGTATTCGAGAATGCCAAAATCGAAAATCTTGATCTTCAACAGAGTTTGCTGGAATTTTGAAGAAGAAATCTATAAATAAATGGACTATCTATCGACAAGGATTCTTCTTTTCTCATGACACTTTGGAAGTCATGTCATCGTAGGTACGGAGTATGTACCGTTACTATTTTGGCTTTGGTTCGATGCACAAGAAAATCAGAGATGCATCATCAATGATACTCGCACAGCATCAAGAAGATTCTTACCAGGGGATAAATAACTTTATTAGGATTAGTGGGATTAGTGGGATTAGTGGTAGATCATTCTTTTATCGCTTCATAGCATTACCACTTAGCTGCCTGGGTAGACTGTACCTAGCACTTGAATATCTTTCCTGAAATCCCTGCTGCTCACGGAAGAGCATACGAATTCTGTCCCAATGTTGTATTGTTGACTATCGGGTTTTGATAGATTAACCAAGTTTCCGATGATTGAAATCGTCTAATTGGTGATGAATGAATGAATTCTTTTCCTACAGCCATCCCTTTGGAAGGAGTTATCTACCGTAGCATAATTTCTTGGTAACTGATTGGATTTGCCGATTTATGGTTTATGTTAAATAAGAAATAAACGTGTACCTGTATGAGATATCTATCCTATCTCAATGAAGCTATACGAATTTGTTAAAGCTTCTTCTATTCACTGGTCCGAACAGCTAGACACGAGCTCCTCGTCATCAAAAAACCTTAGTACCTACTACCTAGGTACCTAGTAATATACTTTTCCCATTTGTCTGGATAGATGATAAATATTGCTTTCTCTCGTTTCTGAACCCCTCCAGTGGCTTGACATCGAATGCTTCGTATTGAATTTTAACTCTAATAACCTTTTCTATTCCCCTCGTAAAAAGTCTGCTCAAACTTTTCTCCCTCTCTTCCTTTTCAAGATCTTAATTTTTCAACTTCTTCTAAGCTCTTGATCCTTTTTCTAATCCTTCATCTATCTTTTCATTCATCTCAATCGATTGATTGACTTTGATTCCTTTACAATCAAAGGTATCAGGTACTTTTCAAAAGACTAAAGGAAAGCTGGAAACCTTGGGAGATAAAACATAAACAAATCTATCTGCATTCATCAGAAAAGCCAAAAGCACTAGCTTCAGCACTTCCGACAGGAGCTCTGATTCACATCAACGAAAACATCCATCAATCCCATCCATCTGGAGATTTACCAAGAAAAAAGATTCATAACAGCAAACGCATTTTTGGCCGTCTTCAAATCATCCCGTACCATAGCATCACACCATTCATCATAACATCAAGCTACAATTCTCATTAAGCTTAATTCAAACATTGTGAAACGGATATCCAGTTCTCATATAAAGCCATTCAATCCCCAACCACCGACTTTTGACCGTTCACGTCCAAACGAGCGAACCTCAGACTAACAGGACCAACCTCATTTCAAAGTTCCACAAATATCCCTACAATTCTCTTTGATAATCTCCACCACAACCGAATTTCACGACGATAAGGTGCTAAGCCTCGAGATCTTTTGAACAAAAGTTGTAACGAGACCCACAAGAGCGATAATCACCATCCACTTATCAGCTTATACATAGAAATATGCAAAACCAAAATCATCCGCTACCCTCGCCCCCGGGCAATCAGGAGCGGCCTGGGAACCGCCAAAGGACAAAGACCTCCTCTGGCTTCAGTTTACATTCTCATAAGAGCAGTGGAAGTGGACATAAACTTGATCTCACAGAATCACATCGAGAGAAAGAAGCAAAAAGACTACATACCAAAGCCGATCCATCTCTGGCCATGACTGAAGCAGAACCTTGTGAGTATTCTCAAAGATGATGGATTTTCATAATTCGCAGACTGACCATTTTATTCCAGCCGCCGTTGCAAGTGAAGTTCCGACTTCATTGGCACCTCTTCGAGCAATTCAACATAGAGATAGTCAGGGAAATCCTATCGGTTCGTCATATTCTTCTACTACATCATTAATCTTGTGCGCTGACATATTTTTACGTAGCGGAACCCGATCGTTCAAATCCTACAAGAAGCAGATGGGAAAGACCTTTGGATACTATTCGAGCTTTTGAGGCAGCTATTGATGGAAACTATTCTTCGAGGAAATCAATGATACGCGCTGGTTAGTATCCTAATACCTCTATGTGCTCATTGCTTTGGACTTGCAATTCTAATTTTTCTACTCAACAGAATCCGACGTGGGCTCAACATACAATCGTCGAAACAGTTATTTCGCAGGTTAGTCCATACCATTTTCTCTCATCTTCCGATTTCCATTTTTCTCATTGCAATTTTTGCACATACATCTGAGACAACTGTCTATCCTGTTTTCCTCTCTGTAGCTCTCAGCTACTGTGGCCCGTGTTCACTGGCCAATGCCCATCTATCAACCGAGCACCTTTTCCATGAAATGAATGGGGATTTTAGCATCTTGCATGCTTTAGCGTTTTTCATCCTCCTGTGGATCCTTGACAAACTATTCCTCAAGCGCGTGGGATTGACAACTGTCGCACATACGCTAACAGATCGTCCTATAGCGAGTCAGATGAACAATGACGAACGGCCAAGGTATTCTCAGCAGAGCTACTATGGAGGACAACAATCCTACAGGCAAAATAGCCAATATGGTGATGGACGAGCGAATGGTGTGACGAGGCCTGACAGCTATTATACTACCGACAATCATGGAGGTCCTGGCCATGGATATACCCCCAACAGATCTCGATACCCTCGAACAGCATCAGAACCACAATTCAACAGCGGTGTATACACAGCGCCTGGAGGACAGCAACACTCATACGAAACTGTGACGACAGCATCTGGTAGTGCAATATCCGCAGACCCCGCGGGTTATTCAACGGATCCCAGCAGCTTAAATAGTTCAGTAGATGGAATTCATGCATTACCACAGCCACCAAAGGAACCTATGGAGACCTATGGCTTCAATGGATTCGGAAACAACCCTCAGTACCTTCCACCCGGAAGTGGTATCAATGAGCAAAATGGAATGCGAAGGCAACAGATTAATGGCTTAAACCAAGGACCTCCACCGACAAACAAAGATAGTACACCACGAACTCCAATTAACCTTGGCATCACAAGTGGAAATTCTGGACCTCAAAAATCGGTCGTCGAAATCACCAAATCAGATGTTAAACCCCAACCAGAAAAACGAAAAAGTTGGTTTGGAAGAAAGTTGAGCAAGAATAAATAAGATGCCGGTCATTCTTCATCAAGAAGCTAATTTACACAATCTTTCTAATACGAATGATTCGAAGAGGAGAACATGAGATGGATGTAGGATGTTCGTATTGTGTTTTAATGATACCTTTTCATGACGGGCAAATATAGGGGGGGTTTCAAAGGATATAATGGAATACACTTGGAAAGGGTTGGGGTTTGTTTTTGCATCAAGTGGCGCATGGGAGTTTTATTTCTCTTCTGTCAACTATTGTCCTTAAAAGTTGGGTTTAGGAGCTGTGAGCTGTGGGCCTTGTGTCTGGCCTTAATTGATTCCTTTACCCAGAAGAGGAAGATTGATGGTGGGTGGTGGGTGGTGGGTTTTTTGTGGAAAGCCTGAAGATGAAGATGAAGACGAAGAATATCTATCCATCATTTAACCGAACGGATTTTATTTACTGAAATTTTAATGAGTTATTTTTTCTGCCCGTCATTGCTTCTTGACTTTTATGATTGAATGTCTGATTTGGCTTGACTTGACTTGACTTGAACTGACTGAACTTGACTCCCTCGTGAAATTCAAAGATAAATAACCCGTGACTCGTAAACCTCGTGAGAAATACATTATTATAACTCCTTTTTCGATTCCGTCTTCGTCTCTTTGGCAGCAGCAGCTTCAAGTGCTTCACTTTGATCTTCCTTCATGGCTACGATGACGTAACCGACTAATACTACATTTGCCATTATTGCGGCGGTGGCACCGGCGAAGGTGGAGTTTCCTGGGAGGGGAGGGGGGTGAGTTTGGTGGGTTGGTTTTTTGGGGGACTTTGGGGAGCGGAATGAGGGGGATGAAGATAGAGGGGATGAATACGTACCTCTGAAGATAGAATTCAAGGTTAGGAAATAGGAACTTATTGGTATGATTATCATGGCTAGGGTGAAGCCGAGGAGTTTGTATATTATGTGGCTGTTGGGTTTGGGAAAAGAGGTGTTAGCTGGGGGTGTGATGTAAGGAGTATGGGGGAGAAAGAGGGGGAATGAGGGGGTGTAGTGAGTGGGGAGAATGAGGAGGGCAGAATAGGGAGGGGCAAAGGAAGGGAAGGAGGGGTGAAGGCAGGAAGGGGGTGTAATGTGATGTGATGTAAGGTATGTATGTATAGAATACAGATAGCCGTGGAATTGAATATAAATATATGATCTTTCGATGAGGATGAAATGGAGAGATGGAGTGGACAGAGAAGAGAAGGGGTTTTGAGCATGTGTCGATGATTATGGTTATGATGATTATGATGATAAAGATGAAGAGGAATGAATATGAATATAAAAGAAAATAAAACGTAAATGTAAATGAGGACAAAAAAAGATAACTAACGCAGGAACAGCAGGAGCAATATTACTCTTCTCCCCAAGTACGGCTTCAGCTTTGAATGAAGCTTCTTTTTCTTCGCCGGCTGCGATGCGATCGTTGTGGCTGCGTCTTTGAGTTGCCATTTTGGAGTTGGATTTGGATTGTGGTGAGAGGGGGTGGTGGTGAGGGTTGGACGAGGAAGAGGAAGAGGGGTATTGGGTGAAATGGTCCGAACTGGGTAAAATAGATTGAGTAGATATTAATATAAAAATCTAAAGGGGAATAGATTGATAACGAATTTTTGTTTTGTTTGGTGAGATTTTTGATAATTTGGATGTTTACTTGACTTGCTTTGCTTTGCTTGTTTTATCTGCATACGGAGTATTTGATTGCGGGACAATGAACAAGGCTTGATATGTATGCATCAAATTAGGAAGTGGATACTGCTGACTTCGCGAAAAAGAAAAGCGTGGGGAACGCGTAAATTAGAATTTGACTAGTGGAGCGTGTCTTTTTGATCGGTTGTAAATGGTCTGTGTACTAAAATCTAATCGTTGGTCTACTTTTGGTCAGCGCAGGCAAGGGCAGAGAAAAGAAGTTTAACTTCAAGATGAGGATTGATTGATCGATATAAAGGTATGAGAAAAGTTCATTTTTGAGATTCACTCTTATTTCACATCCGAGATTTATGAAGTGATGCTTGGGGTTTTTCGATCTCTTATCTCGCTGTCTCAACAATTCTCAAGATCTTTCTTTTTTTCCTGCCGCAAAACAAATACGATTGTCTTAATTAGGAACATTCTGGGAATTTCCTGAAGGAGATCAATTTTTTAACTATAATTATTACAGATTGCGAATCAAGGATCAAATTCTGTATTAATCTCGATTCGACATTGCTTTTACAACTTGCAATCCCATCTTTTTCTCAACTTACTCATCGAACAACAAACCTCTCTCTCATCATTCCAACAACAAAACAACAGAAACGAATTATGGCTGCCAATTTTACCAATCCCTCTTCTCTTATACCCGATTCACCAGCGGTAAAACGGCAAAGAACAGAATCGGGTTATACATCTATCAATAATTCTGCGAGAAATACAGATACCTATAATTCAGATGCGGATGATGGAGATGATTTATTCAAGGATTATGTCCCTGATACGCCAGCTGCTGGAAAGTTTGAGACACAACCTACACAGATTGTAGGTGCTGTTGGGAAATTTGAGACTCAACCTACCCAAATTGTACCCACTACTAGGAAATTCGAGACACAAGCTACTCAAATCATCGATCGGTCCACGTCAATGGCATATCCACCAAGTTCTCCAATCACCAACGGCTTAAGTAATGTACAAGTACCAGCTTCTTCACCTCTACGACAATCACCTACACCGAGAAAGAACTTGGCTTCTGCCATGGCGCCTGCTGGAACGACATACAGACCACCATTTGGAATTACTCAAAAACCCATTGCCCCACCAAGAAAGATTATCAACTTGGATAGTGATGATGAGGGGCCTTCATTTGTTGGGGATAGTTCTGATGATGATGAATTTGTCAAGGCAGATATTAAACCAACAACGTTTGTTTCCAAGAGTGCGTCTTTTGGATCTACCGGTTATCCAGATACTTCTCGGTCTGTCAATGGCAATTCCAAGTTTCAGAATGCTCTCGCCAATGCCGCATATAAACCACAGAAAGGAAAGAAACAACAAGGTCCAGAAAGAGCCCGGCCTGTTCAGGACATTTCCATCAAGGATATTCCTGATAGTGAGCTCAGAATAAAAGTTCAGCGCATCAAGGATATTTTTCCAGGTGTATCTATTCAAGAGGCCAAGGATGCTTTGATCGTAACTAGACACAATTTTGATGATGCTTGTGGTTTACTTGCAAAGGATGCGCCGGTTGAGGTCCCGGACGACGATGAGGATGAAATTCAGGAAATCACCGCTTCGGAAATGGCTGAACCTCAAATGAGAAGAGGTCTTGCAAGACCTATCAAGTCAATCAAGGATCGATATTCTTCTACTCAAAATCAATCTACGCAAAGACCGGCCCAGGTACCAGCTCAAGCTACTACACCAAAAAAGCCAAGGAAAAGACTTATGCAAGGACGCAAAGCTCCATCTTCTCCTGTGGCTGCACCTTCTCCTGTCAAGTTGTCTCCAGTCAAGTTGGCTTCGTCCCCAGTTATTCTAGATATGTCTGATGATGATTCCGACCTAGAACCTGAGGAAGAAGTTGAGGAAGATCCAATTCTTGAGGAGCGACTGCTCAAATACTTAAACCGTTGTACATTAGGGGATCTTATCGAACTTACTAATACTACCAATGCCAACGCGCAAGCAATGTTAGATGCTCGACCTTTCAGAAGTCTTAATGCTGCGAGAAACGTTTCAAATGTTAAGACTTTAAAGAGTGGCAAGAAGAGTTCAAAGGCACCAATGGGTGAACGTCTTGTGGAGACAGCTTTGGAGATGTTTTCTGGTTACGAAGCTGTGGATTTACTTGTCAAAAGATGTGAGGATCTCGCAAAGCCACTGGAAGCTGAGATGGCAAAATGGGGATTTAATTCTTTTGGTACTCGAAAGGAGGGAGAAGGTATTGAGTTGGTATCTTTTGACGATGCAGAGTCTCAACGCGATTCTGGAATTGGTTCTCCAAGTAGCACTTTATCCATCAATGGGGAAAATGCAGATGAGGACAAGATCATATCCGTCAAACGAAGAAAAGCTAGGGTCGACTTTTTAAAGAAACCATCACTTATGGCAGATGATGTTGTTCTGAAAGATTATCAAATAGTCGGGTTGAATTGGTTGAATCTGATGTATGATCAAAACTTGAGTTGTATTTTGGCAGATGACATGGGTCTTGGGAAAACCTGTCAAGTCATTTCCTTTCTTTCACATCTTGTGGCTACTGGTCGAAAAGGTCCTCATGTCGTTTTTGGTCCTGCTGCTGTTTTTGAGAATTGGTGTCAGGAGTTTCAAAAATTTGCTCCGAAATTGGCCATTCAACCTTATCATGGTAAGTTTAGTGCAAAGAAATTCATTCGAATGTCTGAGGATACAGTAACTAATAGATTTATAGGTCCTGCAGCTGAACGTGTTGAGTTGGCTGAGTTAATATTGAACAAGCGAGATGACATTAATGTCATTGTTTCTACTTATGATATGGCCACAAAACCTACTGATAATAAATTCTTTCGAAGATTAGGATCCGATGTGAGTAATTGTGAAGATTTCTCTAGTTTCACTTGCTGACTATTTATAGGTTCTTGTTTGTGATGAAGGTCATATCCTGAAAAATGGAGCTACTCAAAAAAATCAATCTTTGAATAGAATTCCTGCTAATTTTAAACTTTTATTGACGGGTACACCTCTTCAAAACAATTTGGTGGAATTGGTCACTTTACTTGCATTCATTCTTCCAGATGTTTTCAAGGAAAGAGAAGAAGATTTGAATTATATTTTCAAAGCAAAAGCAACAACTAGAGATACTGACCACGGAGCATTACTTTCTGCTGAACGTATCACTCGAGCTAGATCTATGCTCACTCCATTTGTTCTACGACGCAAGAAGCATCAAGTTTTGAAACATCTTCCTACAAAGTTCTGTCGAGTTGAACGTTGTAACTTGGAGTCGACACAGGCTAAAATCTATAATGAGCATGCAGATGCAGCTAAAGAACGAGCCCGCAAACGTCTTGAGGGTGCTAAGATTCCACCTCTGAAATCCGAAGAAAACAACCCCATTATGCAACTTCGCAAAGCGGCTATTCATCCTTTACTTTTTCGACGTCATTTTACAAATGAGAAGATTGAGAAAATGGTTGATATTTTACGAAAGAAAGAACCAGATAATTTCCCTCCTTCAGCTAAACGAATTCATCTTGTTGAGGAAATGCGAAATGCTTCGGATTTTTGGTTACATACTTGGTGTGTTCTTTATCCATGTATCAAATCATTTGACGTCAAGAAAAACGCATGGATGGATTCAGGAAAGGTCTCTGCTTTGGTGGAACTTGTTACGAAGTACAAGGAGAATGGTGACAGAGTTCTAATCTTCTCACAATTTTCACTTGTTCTTGATATTCTTGAATCGGTTTTAAACACTACGAAAATTACTTATACTCGTATTGATGGTTCTACCAAGATTGATGAACGTCAAGCATATATTGAAAGATTCAGAGATGATGCTGATATTACGGCTTTTCTCTTGACAACCAAAGCAGGTGGAACAGGTATCAATTTGATGTATGCCAACAAAGTTATTATCTTTGATGGTAGTTTCAACCCTCAAGATGATGTTCAAGCAGAAAATCGTGCTCATAGAGTTGGCCAAACTCGTGATGTGGAAGTTGTTAGATTAGTTACTAAAGGTACAATTGAAGAAGCCATTTGGAAAATGGGTAGAAGTAAGTTAATGTTGGATGGGAGAGTTGCGGGCGAAGAAGCTGAAGATGCTGGAGAGAAAGCGGTTGAGAGAATGTTGTTGGATGGTGTGACGATTACGGATGAAGAGGCTGCTCCGATTGCTGAGGGTCATGATTTGATGTTGAAGAAAGATAAAGATGGAAGGGCGAAGAATGAGGGGAAGGGTAAGGGGACTGCGACTGGGAAGAAGTTACCAGAGAGGAAGAAATCTGGTGCATTTTTAGATTTGGCAACAAATGGGATGGGAAATGATGGTGAAGATGATGATGGAGATGAAATGCTTGTTTGATGAATACTTGGGGGATTTATCAATCGTACATATTGATTGCAGCATAGATGGACTAGAGTACTTACTATTATAGCGAGAAGATTTAGATCGAGATAAATTAATTGAGGTTGTTTAGAAGATTATATATATACATTTTTAAGTTTTTATATCTTTATATCTTTATATAAATTGGTGGAGGTTTGGAAGTCGGAGATTGTGTTTGAGTTTTTATATCAGTATAATAAAATGATATAATAATTTATAACAAAAAAAAGAAAAATTATAAAAATTAAAATTTAATATTAAGGATGAATTTTAAATAATTGTGACGAAAACCCCTGCTTTCCTCCCACCCTTATTATATAAGAAACCTCAGGTGCATTAACCATGTCCACACATGATACGATTACTCGGGATTAGTATACGATTTAGGTGGTCTGAGGATCAGATCCGAACAAGTACTGTGTATCAATGGTTATCGGTAAAGTAAGATCATTGGAGGGATAAATATGACTCCTTTTTGCCTAGCCATTGCGGCTAGGCCATTCATTTGTGTATATATAGAGTAGCTATCCCCATCTACAGGTGCTCTTCACCTGTAGATTCTAAGTTAAATACAATTGCTGGTCAATAAACACCCTTTTGATCACAATAATCTAGATATTTAGATAATGGGATATTTGAACAGTAAGATAGGTGGAGATTTTGATAAATAATCAGTTTATTATTCTTTTTTTGTTTTAATAAATGGATGTGATTAGAGAGGAAGGAAAGGAAGGAAAGGAAGGAAAGGAAGGAAAGGAAGGAGGATGAGGGAATATAAGATTGGGGATGAGATGAGACGAGGTTGGGAGTGGGAGTGAAGATTGAGAGGTTAATAATTAGAGATGTAGGGATTATTAGTATTTATTGGGATATTAAGATATTGAGGGATTGGATAAGGATAGATAGGGATGGGGATGGGGATGAAGAGGGGAGATATATAGGATTGGGAATGGGAATGGGAATGGGAATGGGAACATAAGGAATATATAGAATAATAACTTACCAAAGGCCCTCGGATCTTATCGGGATTTAATATCTAATACAGAGGTAATGGTTGATATAACGGAGTGAGTGAGAAGAGAGGTGGTAGTAAAGTTATAGATGCAGATAGAGAGCAGACATCACAAATATGCAACTTCCCGACAATACCTAGGTAACTAAATGAAACGTTGTATAGCTGTAATCATCAATCAAATCGATAATGCAATAGTATTTATCCTTACCATTTCAATACCATCTCTTGCTCACAACAATACCAAAAGTCCGATAGTATCGTCTGGATGATATAATGATGGTTCGTTAACGTCTGACAGAAACCACTAAGCGAGATTGCAGGGTTCTCCGCTTTGATAGCTATTAAGTGTATCCAACCCCGCCACACTAGCCGATAGAGTCCTTACCTCGCAGTACAAACATTTGGCAAACAACAAACAACAAACATCAACCGTACAATCTTCCGATTTAATACCCTCTCGAACTTTCGCATGGAATTGAACTATTAGAAGGTATAAAAGTTCCATCATAAACAAACACCTGAGGACAATAGTGAAGAGAAGCATACATTTCAATATTAGTTATCTTTTTTCAATTTTTTCTTAAGAGAAATAGGACTTACCCTCTTATCTCCCTCCCAAGTCGGTGAGTTATAGAAGTTTTTGCTTCCGTTCCATTTCATTCTATTCATCAATCTCAATAACACCATGTTGTTTCAACTCTACTATCACTTCACACCTCTCACTTTGATCAATAGTCTTTTGTGATCTGTTGGACCTGGAGTACCTGACTCGGATTTTTCCAAGAAAAAATCTCTGTCCCAAGCAAGAGAAACGGGAAATGCCATTTGCAGAAAGAAGTCTCGAACTGTATCGCCTTCCTGCTGGATATAGGCCCTGCTAAAATGATTCGATGGATGGATACGCCGCTCAAGGCGGTTGTAATCACTTGGTTCTGCAGCATATAGTGCGGAAATCGTTGGGTTTGGAGATAGATATTGTTGGTCTAGGCTAAGGAATCGGTTGACTGAATCATAGGTAGATTCTCGCAATGCCGGTATCAAAATTGACGAATAGACATTAGTCCAAGGCATTTTACTTAGAGTAGCGTTGGCTCCCAATCGGCTGAATACAATTTCACCTGGGATCAATTGTGGTAGAACATCTCTCACAGTAAAGGTATTTAACTTGTGAAGAAACTAGCTATCGCTTGATAATCTTTCCTAGTATGATTTTAGCGTGCGTGGCTTTTGAATGGTCAGAATAGTTTTGTTTAAACCAAGTGGAGATTTTCAATTCTATTTATATTCATACTAAAAATTTCTTATAAGTGAATATAAGAAATAAAGTTTCTTAGTTATCAAGCTTATTTTTACAGAAATGAAATTAGTTTTAAAACACTTCAAAGGTTTATTTTAGTTGTGACGCCTCACACCCCCGGGTCACGTGGCATGCCCCGTTTGTATTTAATCACAGGAAAACTCTCTACTTTTGTTTTCCTTCTTCTTTTCTCCTTAGCTTAGTATTTTCTAATACAAGATACTTTACCCAGTATTCTTAAGTGTGACATTAGTCAATTAAACTTTATTATTCAAGAAGTATATAAGTCATCTTTGGAGTTTATTTTGATATTTAAAATAGTGAAACAAATAGATATTTTTAAACTTTTATAATTTTCGGTTTACAAATTATAAAAATCACTTATTAAACATTAATTGAAATTATTATTAATTTAATGATTTAAATTTTAAATTAATATTTTTGTAATTTTTTATTATATTCTTTTGAAAAATAATTTTAATAATTAAGAGATTTCATTTCTTGTATTTATTCTATAATAATTTCAGAAAAACAAAATAGAAGGGATTTGATTTTCCCGAATCAAGAAAAACTATCAAGAGATAATTAATTTCTTAATAAACTAAAAACCTTTATTATGATACAATGAATTTATAACAGAAAAGATTATACTGCCAAAAAGTGACATCACCCTTGAGAAGTGATCAATTGGGCTCGTATAGTCATTCTTCAGGTCAACAAATTATCTATTGTAAAAACATGCTTTATCCGTATCAATATGTGGTGGCTTCCCGGCAAGATGAGGGGGCTTATATGGCTGATACTATGTATGACAGATGAGATGTCATTTGCGGCATGTTAAAGAGAATCCTATTGGATGTAAGAACCTTTTAGGTATCCCCTACTATGGTAGTCTATAGGCATATCCCCTTCTCTCCATATTTCACAGTTATGATTCTGTTGATCGTCCTGGTTATATAGACCTTTACGCTTCCTGACTCTAAAGGTTCTAATTAGATTCCTTAGAGCCCTCGGCTCTAGTGGCATTAGATAGATCCTCAGGGTCGTTATGTGATCATTACATGGCCTGCATAGCACTTGCTATTTGGCTTTGTGAGGTTTGGCCTTATTATATGACAAGCTATCCTAGTGATATGGCGTCTGTCGTAACAGGTGAACAAACTGAAAGATTACGTCCCGCGCAACCTCGATATTGTCTTTCTGATGGTAAGCTTGCCTACCTTTTCCATGCACGTTTGATGCATATGTGTAACACTACAACAATTAACAATCCATTACATCATTATTATTGATGTGGACAAAATAAATGTGGTGATTCCCTCACAATCTAGTATCTACATGCTTGAAAGGAAGTATGAGGTTTTCATCTCTAGATAAGCTGAAAAGCTGCATTCTTGGAAGCATGAGGTTTTCAGCTTGTTAGAAATTAATTATCTCTAGACAAGTTGAAAACCTGTATTCTTGAAAATACGAGGTTTTCAATTTTTCAATAAACTTGTCATCTCTAGACAAGCTGATAACCTGCATTCTTAAAAGTATGAGGTTCCCAATTTGTCAATAAATTAGTTATCTCTAAACAAGCTGAAAACCTCTAAGAGTTTCTTGCTGCAGAACTTCTATGAAGGCTGAGTTTCTATACCTCAAAAGTTGATGATTTGCTCGGAGTTCCCCACACAGTCCCGCACTGTCTTCACTAGACTTTGCAGGTTGCATCACTATTCTATATGCAAGAAAGTCTTATTGGAAAGCCTTCCTGTGAAACATATTAGTATCAGATCAACAGCCACATCAATATTCTAGCAACTATAGAAAATTGTAAGAAGTGCTGTGTTCTTCTCCTTTCACTAGAGTTCTTCACAAAATCTCATATACGTACTCACTCTCAAAAACACCTTTTTTGGCTCATCTATTGCCTCTTCAAATCAGCATGACGAACGCAACACACGACTATGGCGACCTCAGAGTCACTATGACCTCAACCCTCGACTGGATCTGGAGCGACCTGGACTCTGGAGCCACGACGGACTTTGAAGGCTACCATCCGAGAGCTCAGGGAAACTTGCGTCCTCTAGGATCTATTGGGTTTTCTTCTTATGGTGACAGGAGTGGCAAGTTTGCTGCTATTCTTGTTGGAAACAACCCCAATTCTACAGACAAACCAGCAGTCGCTAGTCCCCTTAGGTACGAGCAAATCTGGCGTGATGAGGAGAGCGGGGGCGAGTATGATGGGTCTTTCTGGAGGCCCGTAGCACCGAGTTGGTACGTCGCACTTGGAGATATATGTCAAAGAGTTTGGAGCACCCCTAGCACGGATAGAATTTGGTGTGTTCGTTCTGATTTAGTTCAAGACTCGAACTACTTCAGTTCAAAGATTTGGGATGATCATATGTCAGGAGCTACGCGGGATTGTTCTGTGTGGGAAATTGGACTCCCTGATCTTGGTATAAATGGGAGCGAAAATATCCCGATCTCGTCAAATACTTTCCGGGCCAATAATAGCTGGTCTGAACCCAACAATAGCCTCGCACAGGTTCTCGTCCTGCCAAACCCAAAAAAGTTTAAGGACTTCACTACTCCTCCACCATCGTTCACAAAAAATAATCTCCCCAAGGGTGGTGACATATTCAACAGCACTGATCAATGTCAAGCCACGCTCCCTTTCACCGTCTACTTCCCTCCCACGGACGCAGCGAGCCTTAGAGCAATCCGTTACCCATTCTGCACTCTCAGCAGGAGAATCGCTTGGTATATTCACACGGTGCACACGAACAATGGCGGAGGTTCGATTTCCGACTCCACCACAGTGAAAAAAGGTGTCAGTTAGACGCTTTCGGAAGAGATGACACATTCCGCAGGAGTCTCAATCTCTGCTTCGTACGGTATCACGGGGTTTAGCATGGATGTTAGTCTAAATTACCAGTTTACCTCGACCACTTCCTCTAGTTTCACCGAGTATGAGGAGACTACGCGTACACAGGAATATACTGTTCCAGCATATGAAGCTACTATTTTCCTCAGCAAACGGATTTGGATTCAGGCCACCCGCGCAGATGGATCTATCGTTCTCAGGGAAATCAACTTCAATGCTAACGAAGATATCCATCTTATCGGAGTCCGTCTTAAGTAGATAATGATATGGCTGTTGATTAGGTGGAGTAGCAAAATTGTGTTTTGGTTGGTATTCAATATGAAGTTATGACCTTTGTCTCAGTTACCTCTGATGGAGATATGTTGGCCTGTAGGATTTAATATTGGTTTGAAGGATTCAAGGTCTTTATCTTTCAGCTCTCCGTTTCCTATCCAGCTCGGTTTCACTCCCAGCTCATTTTCGAGCTTTCTATCTAGCTCAGATTCACGTTCTTTACTATATAACTCACTAGTTAGTTTACTATTTAATTAGTTCTGAATCAATCAAGTTATGCTTCCTGAACATCCGCGGTTCCCAATAAGATAACATTAGAACCTCGGACATAAAGAGAGTCCTGTGACTAGTCATGATCATTGCCTAAAATTACTACTGATCAATGGAGAAGGGCTATATAAATAAGATGTATTTTTCTAATAGCTTCATACTTGATTTAAACAGTATTTTATATATTTAATAATTATTCAATATAGTCTCTAATCAACACTTGCCACTAATATAATCATACTTTAAGTCTAGTGCCCTACTCTTGGGCCCCTCTTTTGGGCCACTTTTTCCTATCAAAAATAACAAAAATCAACATTTATAAATTTTTTATTTTGTTACGCCGAGTAACAGGAAACTCTCACGTGTAATCAATATCACGTGATTGGCTCAGTGAGGATCAGTGAGCTCAGCACTGAGCTGCATTGATCCTACTGAGTAGCCATCGGCACGAAGGTCTATATAATCTAGATGGATTTCTTTTTTATAGAGCTTCGTGCTCAAGATCAATCATTTAGTATACTCTACTATTAGTTACGAATTGCATATCATCATTGTCATTACTTAAGTCCCTGCTTGACGCCTAGTTACAAACCACCTCGAGAGCCTAGAGCACTTCCACGTGATCTAGACGGCAACCTTCGTAACAATATGTTAATTATTAAAAAGTTGGGGATGCGAAGACTCAACACCTGTACGCGGTGCATCCTACGAACCTCCAGCTCTCTTATGAGAGTCTGCAGAGCTAAGTTTGAGTCATTTGATGGAGTCGTGGTAATTGGAAGAGGAAGAGGCGCCCGATCGCGACGTTTTTACCCGTTTGCAGTTTTTTGACAATCGTATTATCGATATGCTCTTTACAACACTATTTTTATTACAAAACAAAAAACAATACTATCATCTACAATAATATACTACAAAATCATTTCACTTTTTAAGAATGAGATTCCTCTAGAATATAGAGTATAATTCAACATCTTTGATATATATATATTATATATTGTATATCTTTTATAATCGATATAATTAAAACAATAATAATTTATATATCTTTTATATAGGAACATTAAAGAAGTATTATTAAAGGATTTGAATTAATGATGAAACTTACTTTGCTCTTATTTAATAGAGGTATACTATTTATAAAATTAGGATATCTATATAAGTTATTATTTGTATATATTATAATTATATTATATAAGGATTAATGCTCCTTTATAAGCTTTCTATTGGCAGGATGATCAGAATGAGGACGAGGCAATCCTGATTGTGACGCCTCACACCTCCGGGTCACGTGGCATGCCCCGTTTGTATTTAATCATAGGAAAACTCTCTACTCTTGTTTTCCTTCTTCTTTTCTCCTTAGCTTAGTATTTTCTAATACAAGATACTTTACCCAGTATTCTTGAGTGTGACACTGATGATAGGCGATTACAATATATTTTAGTATATAAGGAGTAATTGGATTGATAATATTAAAAAGGGGATTAGGGATGAAGGGTTTTCGAGTATAATGTTTTAATAGTATAAGGGGAAGGGAGAGAGATCAAGAGCCAGTGATCTAGTGAACGAGGATGACTACAATTACAACCCCAAAAGACCTACCGGCCCAAACCTTTCCTGCGAAGGCAATTATGTAAACCCTGCCCTAGCCCCTTTAAATTGTATATAAATACCCTCCTTAGCTAGCTAGTACACTACTCAGAGGTATACTCCTCTGAGTGTCATTTGTCCAAAACTGGAATAGATGGCTAAGGTTATCACGCGCCAAGGCGCGTGGGCCTACGGCCTATGACGATAAACACAATCAATCAATCAATCAATCATATTAAAAAGTTGAGTAATATTTCTCATTTCCAATTAAGATTAAAACTAAACCCATTCATTGCCGAGTATTTCTAATATCATATCGTATATCTCACACAAAAATCCTGTATGTATCGTCCAGTAAGTCATACAACATAATTCAAAAACACAATTAATCCTTTCCTTTCCATTCCATTCGAATCATTTCATAAAATCCCAATCTAACCTTGAGAAGCCGAAGAAATCGCACAGGAGATTTGACTAATCGTATCTCCTTACACAAGGCCAATTGTCATAATTCCTTTCTTCCCTTTCCCTTCCTCCTTCACTTCACTCCACTGCCATACTCCTTCTGTACTTTTACTTTGACTTATCCGTTCCAGTCATTATATTATGGAATGCTTTTCCTAGAGCAGAGGGCTATAAGTTTGATGTCAGATTAGCCAATGATCAATACGCTGTTACACCTCTGCATCTTTCTTTTCATTGTTTCATTCCAAAGCTCGATCTCATGGTATCCCATTGTATCTCCTCCCATCCAACTCCCCAACACCGCAGACCACACTTCAAAACCAAACACACACGTCTTTTTTCTTCTCCCTCCCACCTCCTTCTCCTCATCCCCCTCCTACCTACCCGCCCTCATCCCCGGCTTCCCACCCCTTCCCTCCCTCCCCTCCCCCCAAAAATAACCACAAAAATGCCCCATATAAGAAAACCCACATACCTCAGTCCTCTGATCCAAAATCCCCTCTTTAAACTTCTCACTATCAACCCCACGATACTCATCCGTTCTTCCCCTCTGATCCTGACTCCCAAGCGTAGACGCATAACCCGGTGTATGATTTGCGCTTCCGCCTGCGCGCGTGTGTGCATTTTCTATATTTTGTACTGTTGTTTTGAAGGGGGGGGGGTTAGTTTGGTTGTGCTAGGTTGTGTGTGTGGTTCTAGGGGGTGTGTGGGGATCGACGGGGGAGAGGATAAAGGGGAGAGGAGAGAAAGAGGATGTGGATAGGGGAAATAGTGAAGGAAAAAAAGAGAAAATAAACCCACCACCAGGAGGTTTAAGCGAAGGAAGCATATCATGAATAGCAGAAGTAATTTTCGAAGGTTGATTTTGACCCAAATTAGGATTTGCGTTTGCTTTTGAATCGGGCATTTTGAAGTTTTTGAATGTATCTTAGTTTCTCTTTTGTTAAATAAGGTTAACTAGAGGAGAGTAGAGTGATATTGTGTAAAAATCTCAATCAATATAATCCTAGATAAATAGTAGAGAAGAGAAGAGGAGAGAATCTTATATTCAAAGCTTGATTAAACTGTAGGTAGGTAGGTAGGTATGTATATAATAAAAAATAAAATTGGGAGGCAAAAAAAAAAAACAGAAACTACCTCCCTCCCTACCTATCTATCTATATGAATAATAAATAAGAAATGCAAAACCTACAAGCCACAAACCAAATCCTCTACGTAGTAGGTATTCAAATTTCGAAGTTCTAGAATCTACTCAAACACTATAGAGCTCTTCAACAATTTTTCGATAACAATGACGACAATAATGATGGAATTTCCCACCTCACCAACACAACGCGTATCCAATCAAAAAATCCCAATCAACTCGTCATATATTACCTAAGAAATCTAGAATACACTAGATTGAATAACAAAACAAATTCAAGGTTCGGATGTTTTCCGTCCGGGAATGTGCTAATAGGGGTTTTAGTTTTTTAGTTTATTCTTGTAGATCTATTTATCTATTTATCTACTTTATCTACTTTATCTATATTATGTATATGAATATACGAGTAGGTAGAGAGGTATGAGTTTGATGTGTTGAGATATCAACTACATAATTTATAATTCCGGGGTTTTTGGAGTTTAAAGGTTTGGAGATCGGGATCTGTATGATTTTGTTGGGGTGTGGGTTGGATGAAGGGTTGTTTTGAATGTTTAGTGATGGTGATGATGGGAATGATTGCGATGATTGTTTGTTTGGTGATGATTGTAAGTAAATGGGTGGTGATGTTTTTGTCCTTGAATAAGTCCATTACAGTCAAAAATAATATGATGTACATAGAAAGAGCACATGCCAAAAATATTTTGATACTTTTTTTCTTAATTGTTATAATAACGCATAATGGTATTCATAATCTCATCCCCTTCCATTTGACATCCAAAACCAAAACCACAACTACATTAGCTCAAACTAAGCCATAACCACTTCCGTCCGTTCAAACCAAACCAATCAAACACCATAACAATCTCAACGCTATCTCCCTTTCGCTTCGCTAACCCATGCTGTCATGATCTAAGATGATGTTGAGGGCATAATCCATCCATGCTCTCTCGTGCATCTTTCGTTCATCGATCCTCGTTGAAATCTTCGAGTCTCCTTTCCTGTTCATACACTCTACACCATCGTATCCTCACTGTCTACCTCCTCGTGCCCGTCCCTTTACCCCTCCATCCATGCAAATCATTTATGTCCCCTTAGTGAAACTATCACAAACACAATATTAGCACACATTCAATTGTAACCGCTCTCATCCAAACACACAACCTCCCCAAAACCCCAAACCCAGAACATTAAACAACCACCAATAAAAGAAAATTGAAAATAGAATTGAAAATATAAAAAAAACAAACCTATTCCACATCTGCGCGACAAAACCCGCCTTAGGAGTCTGATCCGCAAAACTGGCACGTCTAGCCTGCGTCGCCGCATCAATACTCGAACGTTTTTGATTTCGGAGTCCTGCGAACATGGTGCCTTCTTGAGAGCCCTGTTTCGTTTGAATGTTTGGTTAGTTTGGGGGGTTTGTGAAGGGGAGGTGTTGTAGAATAGAAGAGGGGAGAGGGGTGATTGGGTGTGGTGATGAAGAGGGTAAGAGGATGGGAAAAGGAAGGGTGATGGTGATGGTGATGATGATGCGGAGGGAGAAGAAGAAGAAGGAAGACATACACGTCTGTTTTGAGGAGTGATACCAGCGGTGTTGGTGGCTTGAGTAGAACCTCCCTTAACTGCTGATGTACTTTGAGCGTTCATTGTTTCTGATTTATGTAGATGTGCGATTGATTGATGTGAAATGATAAAGGGTATGATTGATTGATTGATTGATAGTGATTGATAGTAATTGAAGAATATCAAGTTTCTTGAAAATGTATTACTGTTTTATTGTACTGAGAATAAAGTAAAAAAAAAAAATAAACAAAAGTGATACGAGAAACCCTCTCCTCATATACCTACTCCCTCCTCCCTACCCCTCCACCAAAACCCCCTAACCCTACGCACGCAAAACAAATCTGGAGAAACCCCGTCTTCCGATGTCCAATACAAAAACCCAATAAGCATACGATATACGACGGATCTTACAAATCCAACTTAATCAGCGCGCAACAAACAAAGGGAAACCCTTGAGAATCCTTTGTGCGAGATCCAATCATGATTTTGCGTATCCCATCACGATCTATGCCTCAAAGATATTTCACGCCAATCATGCTCAGAATAAATTACAATGCGTACATTTTACCCCGCGATTCTGACATGATTTTTACATGCATGCATTTGATATGGACATCTAGTTATATGATTGGAGAACGGGATGGAACTTTAATAACTGGAGGCTTATTCTAGATAGAGAGTAAGTATTTAGTTGTGTACGGGTACGAACACGAAAAGTTCCTATTGAATGAATGATTGTATGATTTAGACATTATACTTTCATGCTAAGAGCATCGCAAACGAGAGGATTAGATTGATATTGAAGTCGAAGGATTGTTGTACATCGATCGAGAATCCATTCATGGATAATATGGGGATGTGGGGGCAACTAGTTTGAGATGATGACGAATTGGTTGTTTAGACCCTGGGGTCTGCCGTCGGGGTTCAATAATCCGGTGGCTTGGCCGACTTTTAACTTGTGGTTCCAGGTTTAAATGGTCCAAGCGGGGATGAGTTATCTTTGACTTCCACTGGACAAGTAGATAGTACATTGTCTTTCAAAATAGTCTGCCTCCACGGCAGTGGCCCTCGGAGAGCCAGCGGAGCGTCCTTTCAATACGTAGTAACAGAAATTAAATCGATTGACATGTGACAATATGGGGGCAAGCCCCCAAACACCCTTTTGCTCGCTGCGCTCGATTTTCTGTTCATATCTTCTACATGTCATTACTATTGCAACGCATGATTGAACTAGAGAAAGAAAGCAGTGAAGCAAGAGAATGATAATCGGATGTAATGAATTCAGTAGTAGCATAGGTAAAAAGATGAATATGAAGCCACTGCCAATGCGTTGCTTCTAAACATGTTGAGTACGATTGCCGAGTAGATCTAACTTTTAGCTTCTAACATCGAACATCGAGAAGAAGTTGGCGAACCTACCTAGTGCGGCGAGGAAGCATGTCACACTCCACTTTAAGCATGTGGAAAATGGTAACTAGGAAAAGGGATATCAGCCTCCTATGCCATTGATAAGGTATGACATATGGTCTCGCCTCACAAGTACTAGATATCTACGTGGTTGAGTAATTTGACTTGGATTTTACCTCATCTTCATGCTTTGCACACTTGCGCAAATTCATCATCATACCTTTAAATCTTAAAACTCTCAAATCAAATGGATGAGAAATGAGATATTTCAATGGTATTGAATTCAGTTTTGTTCACTGGCCGAAGTTGACAAGAATTGAAATATCTCGATGACTGAATAATTGTTTTGATTGTTATAACTCTTTTCAAAAGAGTACCTTTTGATCAAAAATATCTGCTTCCCATTATATGCTAATCGATCTCAAAGTAACCCACTATCTTAAGCCAACCTATTTTGCGACTCTGAAGTATGAAACTTTTTTTCTTGATCCATTCTCCATGGTCCAAACTCGAGTATTTGCAACCTCATGGAATACCATCCTACACATCCGATCAGAATATCACTAATGACATTAATAAGAAACTCAAGGTTGATGGAAAATTTGTTTCATTTGATTTCACAAATATGCACTTAGCACTTGCAAGAAAAGCCGGCAAGCCGGTCGGTCTCTAAGGCCGCAGACTTGATCCTAATAGGAGTCAAGCTGAACAGTTGGATGAACTGCTTCATTGTAATCTGATCCGTAGATGCAGTAAAGTACAACCAATGATGCCCCTTTCATTAACTCCATAAGCCCACGTTGCGACAAATCTTGAAGAACTCGCCGAATCGATTCACTCGAAGCCCTTGCCATATTTTTTATTTGAAACGTTTATCTGACGATACCCTCGAAACGGTTCTTGAACCATCTAAGTAAAAAATATTAGTATGAAGACATCTAATCACAAGTTCGGCGCAAACATACTTGACAGTCTCATCACGCTTGATCTTGTGGTTGGCACCAATGGAAGTCTTGCAGCGACGACGCTTAGCAACACGCTCACCAGGACGGGTCATGCATGCGTAGAAATCCATTCCGTAAATACCGATCGCAGGGTCGTACTTGATACCGAGATCGATGTGTTCGGAGATACCGAAACCGAAGTTACCAGTTTGGGAGAAGTTGCGCTTGCGGAGTTCATATTCCTTAACCTTCAATCCACGCTCCAAAATTTCCTCAGCCTTTGGTCCACGGACAGTGACGTGAACAGCGATCTTTTCGTTACGACGAATACCGAAGGTGCGGACGGTATATCTGGCCTTGCCTGTAGATAAATTGTTAGAGATAAATGGATAATAGAAGTAATTGGTGTATGCCTACTGTAAACTGGGGTTTGACCACTCAATTGTTCCAAAACTTTGGCAGCACGGGTAAGTCTGTCACCAGATTCTCCGACAGAGATGTTGAGAACGAGCTTCTGGATTTTAAGCTCCTTCATGGGGTTGGTGGTCTTGTCTCCGGATTCAGCCATTTTGAATGATGCTGTTACGATTTGTCGTGAGAGATTGTCGGTTTTTGTCGTGATCGTCAGGTTCAAAAAGAATTTCGAAAAGATTCAAAAAACATTATATTCGCTAAGAACTCAAAACCCTAAAAGGTGATTAGGTAAGAATTTATTATTGCCTTGTGGTTAAGGCTTTAACAATTTTTCATTTGAAGCTCGAGCCAGCCTTGTGAATGATCTTGAAGAACCTCATATCAAGAACTCATACACTTGTAATAGAGCTGTGGAGTTAAAAAGAAGTCATCGAACTTCTATACACATTCTTTGAAAACCAGAGCCGTAATAACGCGCACTCAAAAGTCATCATGGCGAACAAGCAGGGAAAGATGGTGAGTTTAATACCCCTTCTCAAAACCATTATAAGCTTGTGTTGACATTATAGGCTGACTTTGACTCTTTATACAGGCCGGTCTCGTATGTAAAATCCATCAATGCAGCTATTACAGCTCTGCGCGATCAATACGAATGTGACTACGAACTGACGGGGTTATAGATCAATTACCGGATGAGAGTGACTATGAATGATGGACGTCAAATGGTTGGACAGATGTTAGCATTTGATAAGGTACGATACTTGAGCAGGAGTTACAATGATTATGACTGACTCTTGAATAGCACATGAACCTCGTTCTCGCCGATACAGAAGAATTCAGACGCGTCAAGCGCAAGGCACCAAAAGCTACAACTGCTCCTGGAGCTAGTTCCGCTGCACCACTTCTCGTCGAAACGGAAGAAAAGCGCACATTAGGTCTTACAATTATTCGAGGCACACATGTTATTTCTCTATCTGTCGAATCACCTCCACCAGCAGATCCAAGTGCTCGTTTAGGTGCTAGTGTTCCAGGTGGTGCTGTACCTTCAGCTGCAATGGCTGCAGGAACAGGAATTGCAAGACCAGCCGCTGGAAGAGGTGGATTAGCTGGTCCGGCTGTTGGAATTGGTGGATTTCCGGGTATGCCAACTCCTCCACCATTTGGAAGAGGTGCACCACCTCCAGGATTTGGTGGTGGATTCCCTCCTCCAGGTTTCCCAGGTCCACCAGGTGGTTTTGCTCCACCTCGCAGGTAGATGCTTAAAAGTAATGGATTCCACGATCATGTCAAATCAAATGTTAAGGGATATTCTCAGAGGAGCTGTTTGCATATAATCTGATGAAGGGCCAAGGGCATATTGGACGTGATGATCGATGAAGGAATGGAAGATGATAGATCCAAAGGAAACTTATGGACATGCATGATAGGGGCGATGCAAAGAAGGTTATGCTCAATCAGAATACAGGCGTTGAGGGTGGTTTTGACTTCACATACCAAAATTCGCAAATTTGCAGCATAAAAGCAAGCAAGTAAAGCGACAACGCTAATTGAATTCTATATAATTTTGCTTGATTCTCTATTATCTCGTATCTCAGTCACATCGATCATTAGACTAACCCCAAATCTAATCATTTCCTAATTTCAATTCATGCCATTCACAAAACTCACACCAAAAATCCAATCCTATCAACACGTGACACAGATCAATATTTCGGACAAACTCAGGGTAAATCCGAACCCAGTTCCTGTCCGTCCCATCAAAACTCTGGATATCAACAACAAAACATAACCACATCTTCCGGAACCAACACCCAAAGAATATTTCAGATATTCACAATGGCAGCCTTGGTTAAAGCAATTAATGCGAAAATTCGTAGTAACCCGGCGGTTAGCTATGTTTGTTCTACTCGTAAGTTGTGGTTTTCTTTTTGAGAGAGGGAGAGCGAGAGGGAGAGAGACGGGAGGGGATGTTGTCTTTGTTTGGATTGCAAGGGGAAGGGAATGAATGGTTTAGGGGATGGGAATGGGTATGGGTATAGGTGATGGCAGAGAGTGGTGAATTGGGTAGGGGATTGGGATTGATTGGGAGGTGAATGTGGAAGTGGAAGATAATTGAGGGAGGTTGAGCGGGGTGCGTGGGAATTGCCGGGTTGGAGTGTAGCTTGGATTATGGATATTGATAGAGCATAGGCAGCTCGAGAACTGAATGCACTGCGCGGATAATTAGTTGAATACCTACTAACAAAGCTCTCCAGACTTCTGGGGTCCAGTCTCTAACTTCGGAATTCCGGTTGCTGCCGTAATGGATACTCAAAAGAGTCCTGATTTGTATGTCCTCCATTCCTCATTCCCCTTCCCTTCTTCCCTGTCCCTTCTTCTCTGTCCCTTCTTCTCTGTCCCTTCTTCTCTGTCCCTTCTCACCACAACAACAAAATCTAACTTCATATAGAATCTCAGGCAAAATGACCCTAGCACTCTGCATCTACTCCGCAACTTTCATGCGTTACTCCCTCGCCGTAACACCACTTAACCCACTTCTCTTCCTCTGTCATTTCGTAAATGAAGGTGCGCAACTTACGCAAGGGTATAGATGGATGCAATATCATAAGTGGGGAGGTAAAGAGGCGGAAGCTAAACAGAAGATTGGATTGGGTGTTGAGGGGGTAAAGGAGAGTGTTGTGGAGGCGGTTAAGAAGGTTGAGGGGAAGGTTGAGAAGGCTGTTGGGAAATAAGTGGGATAATTTGAGATGGAGGGATGTGGAGGGAGAGGCTGTTTGTGGGTGGTTTTCCTGCAAGATGGATATTGATTGGTACAGTAGGAAATGGTAGAAGCTGATGGTGGAGGATCAAAAAGGTATCAGGATACGTGTGTGCGATAGTGCGAAAGTGCAAAAGTGCATTATACCTAGAGGAGGCAAATCAAAGAAGAGAGACACACAGATGAGGAAGAGAAATGCATAATGCAAGTACGAGCTGATAACTATTCAATGAAGAGAAAAGAAAAGAACTCAATTTTGCATTTTATTCATCATTCATCCTTTACCATAAGCCATGCGAGTCTACTGTATATCTACGTGCAATTCAACCTAGGAGATATAAGATTATATCTATATAGTATATTTTACATGACTATGATTGCATTTAGAACATATATTTAGCTGATATAGCTATTTCACTTCCTACATAGTATGAACCGTTCAGGAAAACGATTAATTTAATATCTATCGCTTAGGTATAAATTTTACATTTTACTCATTTTATTTTCCATTTAATAAAAAGCATCAACTTATAGTTAAAAATTTTACATATTATGTTATAGCAAGTTTAAGTTTAAATAAAATCAAATAGAATTGGGGTGGAGTAGAATAGAACAGAGCAGATACAGTTGGTTCTTTAGCTTTAGGATGAATGATAATGAAAATGATTTAAAGTTAATTAAAGACTCTCTGATTCTTGATTTTTTTTTATCTCTAATATCTCATCTTTGGTTTACTATTTAAGTGTCTCCTGATTTATCGATTAATTTCTAAGTATTTGTATATTTGAATTCTGGTATTGGGTATTGGGTATTTCATTTTAAATTCTTTCTTTCATCCTTCCCTCCTTTCATCTTTTCATTCACCCATCCATCGGTTTTCATAATTCCTAATCCACCCATTTCATCAATCCCATCCATTTTCATCCCAAAATGCTGCATATACTGCATACATTCTATCCTCCTCATTTCCTCATTCATTTCCTCCCTTCTTTTCCCCTATCCCCTTTTCTCCAGGGCCACTCCCTCACTATATTTCCTCATCCGCTGACCCCATCCATTCATCCATTCATCCATCAAAACTAAAAAGAAAACAACCAACCAACCAAAAAATATGTAGGAATAAACGACGCAGCGTTTGGGAGTATCTTAATCCATCCATCCAACCAACCACCCAGCCAAACTCCAATCCATTTCCAGAAACGATTGTAAGAAAGAAAATATAAATATAAATAAAAATGAAATAAAATAAAGCATACGCATGCATACAAGCATTCACAAAAGCTCACCTCCCTAATTCCCGAATTTCCAACCCGGGAGTAAAATTATCTACATCTACATCTACAATCCCTTCTCAGCCATAAAACCTATCTTATCTTATCTCCCCAAACACTGAAATCCCATTTATTGTACCCCCTGATTCGAAAGTGGATTTGCGTATGCACCGGGAATAGGTACACTGGCATAAGTTTGTTCACCTGGTGCCGCCTGTACATGTTCAACCACTCTCTGCTGTTGATATTGTTGAGGAGGCGGGGGTGGGGGAGAAGGAGAAGGAGTCTGAGTCTGGGGTTCGAAACCCCCTTGGTTAAGTTTCGGTGTTGCATTTTGTACTCTAATAGGAGGAGCTTGTAAGGTGAATGGTTTAGCAGTATTCATTCCGGGTTTTGCCTCTACGAATCTCGTTCCAATTCCATTTCCTTCTTCGAGATCTGGGGAACTTTGATATACGCTTGGAGGGAATCGGGGAGATTTGGCATATTGGGAGTAAGAGGGACTGAGAGGACCGAAACCGGGAGTGTTGGGTGCGGATTGACTGCGGAGTTGGGCAAGGTAGAGATCCGAACGTGCACGGTCGCGAATGGCCATGGATTTGCGAAGTCGTTGTTTGGAGTAGTATCGGTAGAAGACGACGCTGTAGATGGCGATTGTGAGGGATTCGAGGACGATTTCTATTATACAGCATACGAGGGACCAAGACTGGGAGGTTGTTAGAATGGATTCATGGATGAAAGAGGTAAAGAAACTTACTTGAATTCGACAAACCAAAGCATAATCAATCTTTTCCTGAAATAATTGTCGTCTCTTATTATCGACACATGACCAACCCCAAATATCCTTATTATTCCCAGTAGTTCTTACACCTTGTAAAATGCCAGCTGCTATACCCCACATAATCGTACTGAAGATAAAGTATGCGACTGCAAAGAGAGTATAATAAACTGCAACCTTCTCCGCACGTTTATGTCCTCCTTTCCAATAATTGTAGAGAATGAGTACACAAAGTGCGAGTGATACAGATGAGATAGCAAGAACGACTTTTTGAGGCCAAGTTTTGGTACCATCTGCCCATGGAGGAAGATTATTTCGAGCTGGTAATGATTTTGTTGCTTCGAAGATGCTAAAAGTGGTAGCAACCATGGAGAGGACGATTAAACTGCAGCTAAAGTTTACAAATCGTAATAGTAACTTGGCTACCCTGACTCTAGTTTTGATTTTCTATTTAATTGTTAGTATATCCAAAAAAAAAAAAAAAAAAAAAAAAAAAAAATATGAATTCCAAAATCTCTTACTAAATCTTTGGCTTGTTCAATTTCGGTCATTTCTTCATGCTTTTCCAAAATTTGCTCTTCCCGGAACGTCGGACTCAATGGATTCATCATCCTCCCTGGTGTACCAGGAACTTTTAACGCACTCTTTAATGGTGATGATGGAGTAAGTGGCATCTCGATCGGAACTCCTTGGGATTGTCTATTTTCTGATATGTAGCCGAAGCCAATATCAGAAGGTTGTGATTGTGCCATGTATGCTTGTGTTTTTGAAGCGTATGAATCTGCTGTTTTTGGAGGATCTGCAAATGGTGATCTCTTATCATCTACAGGAGAATATACAGTAGTAGCTTCGGCAAATCGTGGTGTTCGAGGGACTTTTAGTGAGGAGGATGATGATGATGTAGATGAATTGCTAGAGGATCGTGGCCTTGTGAGGGGAGGCAAAGGCCCCTTGTTTGTAGGTGGTGCTAGATAAACCATGAGTATATTGATACATTAACGACATCTTACATTTCAGAACTACTAACATGACATTGTGATGAAGTGAAAAGAAAGGCAAGACAAGTTGACACAAATTACTCGAGTAAAATCGTGAGGCCAAGAAAGACTTCACCAAAGCACTATCAATGGAAGTGCACGCAAGTAAAATGGTTAAAATAAGATGAGGTTGTACAATTCGAGACCAGCTACCAAGAAAAAAAGATAAAACAGATATTGAAGAGGGGGGAGATGGTAGGGTTTTGAGTAGCGCGCGCAACAACAAAGCAAGAAATTTGGAATCAAATACAAGGCTTCGTACGACTATCTGGAAAGATCGGAAGATGGGAAGCAATGATATGACATGTAGATCAAATGCAGACCAGGATATATGGACACCTAGTGGCCAAAAACTGACCTCGTACGGAAAGGAAAGAATATAACTGGATGGAGGGTGGGGTCTAACCTTACAGATATTGGGACCAAAATAGACGCCCGCTGGTAGTGTGCATGACAGATGCGTTTTTTCAATTCGCACGAACTAAACGGATGTAGAAAGTGTGGTTCTACCCGTAGATATAGTGGCTAGATCTTTGGGGGCAAGAACTGCGGTTTCAACACCAGGCTGAGTGAGATGTCGGAGTAATATCAGTGATTCGACATTCGTTGGTTTTTAGCCACGAAGAAACATCAAACATATAAAAAGAATGCTTATGAATATAGATATAGAGAGGGAGAGAACGAGAGAAAACGAACAATCAAAATCGAACAATCGCAAGAACCAAAATTACACAACCAGAAGCAAATGAGTAGGGTGGTAACATCCATCTCCCATAAATCTTTTTGGCGCCCACTCTTCACCAGAAGACCACTCAGGACCATTTCACAACCTAGTCTTCCATCGATGATTTGCAGAGCTGGGGGAATCGGGATGTAATTCCCTCCAATGCCCTCAAGCTGACTTCATGCATCTGCATCTTGAATGTGAAAAAGGTACAAACCAGGGTATGATTGGAAGAAACGACCGTCAGTGCTTGAAGGAAACATATGCGAGTGAGAGTGAAAATTGCTGTTTTCGGTTATCATTCGTTAGTGACGTGCGTGCTGCTTTAGAAATTCAACATGGTGTGTGTGATGAATGATCAGGATATCACAGGGGACATCAATGATAATTTATATGCAGAGTGGTGATGAGAATCATTGGATCCTATTCATGCTACAATTAAAACAGCATCAACTCCCCCAGCCTTTCCACATTAGCGAAAGTTAGCTCGGGCGGTTAACAACATACTAGGTGTATATGCACCAACCAACCGCGATTTATCCTTTTCAATTGCCATTCAAGCCTTGACTTGGCGGCATTTGAACCCTTCTAACTTAAAAGTACCATGTCCCGAGCCATTTTCTCCAGGATCATTCATTGAACACGGGTTTTGATTAAACATTAACTAATAAATCAATTCATGACCAGCATCAATTTAATCAACCCGTCCATCCATCTCCAATCAATCCATCATTATCAAAAGAAGCTTGGACAATTATCATCTGATAGGAATTCCAATACGTACAATACCAAAATCTAGAGCTACCAATACAACCACTCGAAAGAAAAGAAAATAAAATTCATCATCTCAAAAGATCTCATCAGATAACAAATCTTCAACGAAGCATTACGCAGGTACCATACCATACCTACATCAACTTCAACTACCTACATTAGCTAGCACACTCCACCGACAAATATCTATATAAAGATGTGATAGAATGCAAGACGCGCATATTCATCTACCCACCCACCGCAACTATTGGCGAAGATTCGTGGCAGTACCGATACTGGATCTTGATTTGCGAATTGATCTAATTGATTTATCCAATCCCGCTCATCCATCCATCACCACATCGTGAATTATTCATCAATTAATACACACCCACCCACCTACTTACCTGCACTGCTTACCCTACTGATCTACAGAGTAGTATTGTACAACCAAGAACCCAAGCCTCCAGATATCTATATATAATCACAAAAAACCACAAGAAGAGAAAAAAAAGAAAAAAGAAAAAGATAAGGAAAAACGGGCGGAGACATCCATCCATCTCCATCTCATCCAAACTTCCTACCCGGTCCGGACGGAGTACATACTCGATACATAAAAACTTACATACACCGTACTCCGTACATACATACAATACATACAATCATTTTCAACTTAGACACAACGACACTATCTCGGTGCACACCATATATCAGCTAAATAGGGCAAAAACTCCGATGGAAAGAGATAGCGAAATATAACCGCAAGGTCCGCAACAGAAAGATACAAACAATAAACGATAAACAATAGGCTATTCACATCCGACTCCCGATTCCCGACTCCAAATTCCAAACCTTTCCTTTCCCTTTCTTTTCCTTCGCTCTCCTTCCCTCCCAGCATCAATCATCTACTCTACTATATAAAGCAGATATCCGAATACGCAATTATCCATCCACACCATCCACACCATCCATTCACAAACACCCATACCCACACCCATCCTCATACTCCATACACCCCATACGCCTCATACTCATACTCATACTCCGTACCGTTTCATACCGGCCGAAAAAATGGCTGCTTACTCTTACTCCATATCCATCCTCATCTATCTATCTCACACACCTTTCCATCCATCCGCACCAATAACAATAACATTAAAACCCTTTCCAGGTAGCACAAAATGATGAATGATGAAATGATGTTCTAATAATAAAAGATTCACTGCCATCATTCATGTTTCCAGTTGGACGCCGTGGCTGCATCTTGGGGTCTATGGCTAGAAAAGAACGACCTCATTATTTTCCTAACCCTTCCTACGTTTCAAGAATTTATCTTACTCTGATTATGCACGTGGATTATACTGCATATTCTCGGTATAAGTCTTAAAGTATTATCCAAAAAACTGGCTCAAAACAAATAGTTACAAATGTTGAATTTTCATATCACGTTACGCCCTATGGGTCGTTTCTATAGTAGGGTATCTCTATACATTTTACCCTCTGATGGGTGGAGGCAGGATGTTTCCAACCTTGCTATATCCGCTCGTTATCCCGCTACCATAAACAATTTAATGGTGGAACAAACGAATGCTTTGTTCGACAAATGTAATGTCAAGTTTTTCAGCTGTCTCAAAGACATATAAATCATTTTGACTGCCACTTGGTGCGGCAATGTACTTAACGCCTGATCTTGCGGCACGGTAGACATTATCGATAAATGGGAACTAATCATGTTAGTAGAGCATATATGAACAAAAAAAAGTAGACTTACAAATGCATCACTTGAAACTGCAACTTGTGTGAGTTTCGACATCCATTCTTCTCTCTCCTTTTCAGTGAATTCGGCTGGAACTTCATCGAAGAAACCTTCATATCCCTCACGCTCGGGTCCAGATTTTGGTAATTCGCCACTGACGAGGAGATCAATCGCATTACTCTTGTCTGGGCGCTTAGTACCAGTCTTCCACTTGATACCCAAAACACGGGGATGAAACCTCAACCACCAGTTGTCGGCCTTATCACCGGCCAGTCTTGTGCAATGAATACGAGATTGTTGACCAGCTCCTAGACCAATAACTTGACCATTTAGAGCATAGCAAACGGAGTTACTTTGTGTGTATTTCAAAGCAATGGTAGCCACTGTCAAATCTCGAACGGCTGACTCTGATAGAGGAGCGGAATCTTTGGGGGTGATGATGGAAGAGAATGATTTGGGAGAAATAACAATGTCATTACGGCGTTGGCTCAGATTAATGCCGTATACGGTTCTTGTCTCTTGTGTAGAAGGGGTAAAGTCTGGGTCCATTTGAAGGACAAGATACTTACCACCCTTCTTTTTCTTCAAGATCTCAAGAGCAGCATCCTCGTAACCTGCAGCGATAACACCATCGGAAACTTCTCTTGAGATGATCTTGGCAGTTGGAACATCAACAATGTCACTCAATGCAATCATATCTCCGAAACTACTCATACGATCTGCACCTCTAGCACGTGCGTATGCTTGAGCCAAAGGAGAGTTTTCCAAACCAGCAATATCATCTACCATGTAGACTTTACGCTCATCTGGTGTAAGAGGAACACCAAATGGCAGCACCCTGCAGGTGAGACATGCTTGAAAACTGGCCGCTGCTGGGTGACCAAGGGCAGCCTTAAGCTCTTTGACCAAAGGCCAGGCATTGAGGGCATCTAAAAGGTTGATATATCCTGGGGATCCACAAAGGACCTTGAATGGCATTGGTCCCTCACTGACGTAAGCTTGGGCAGGCTTTTGATGGGGATTGGCACCATATCTCAAAGCAAGTTGTTGTACACCATTTCCAGCATATTGCTTACGGAAATAATCCGAGATGGAAGCATCATAGTCCGCGGTATGCTCGAATGCTTTCAATGCGTATAACTTTCTGCTACGCTCTGTAACATCACCCTTCTCAAGTTCTTCCAAAAACTCGGGATAATCTGCTGGGTCAGTCAAGATTGTGACTCGAGTGTGGTTTTTGGCAGCGGCTCTGATCAGAGTAACTCCTCCAATATCGATATCCTCCACAGCCTCTGGAATTGTAACATTAATCTTGTTGATTGTTTCCTTGAAAGGGTAAAGGTTGCAGATGACATAGTCAACTTTATCGATGTTCTGCTCGGCGAGATCCTTTTCGTCAGATGCAAGGTCGCGAGCAAGGATACCGGCATGGACTGATGGATGGAGGGTCTTCACTCTGCCGCCCAACATCTCTGGGGCATGAGTAATTGCGGAAACATCTCTGGTTGTATACGTTAGACATTTAATTGATATATCATGGCATTGTTGATAATAATTGCGTGATCGGAAAGCTTAAAATGTTAAGGGGAAATATCTTACTCAACTGGGAAACCAGACTCTCTAATCATCTTAGAGGTCCCACCTGAAGCAAGAAGACGAACATTCTGCTTGATCAATCCCTTGGCCAAGTCAAGAAGCCCCTTCTTATCATAAACAGAAATAATAGCTATTGGATGATGTCAGTGAGGAAGTTCTATTTGCTACGATCTTCCTATGTATGAATCGCATAAAACTAACCAGTCTTTTGAGTAGACATTGTGCTCTGCTGCAAGAATATATGTAAGTAGATGAAAGTAAAAGCAGGATAAGAGACAAAAGAGATAGAATTGACCAAATTATCACGTACTTAAATAAAATCTGGATATTTTTGAAGCAAACGATGAAGTTTGTTACAAATTATAATTCAATCGCGGGGCAGCAGGTCAATAAGTTTTTTGCCAGTCTTGACCCGATTTTGCGGGTTGACTGGTGGGGTGATTGACACTAGTACTAAAAAAGCTTAGATCATGGATGACTTAAGCGAAGAGAAATTTTTGTAAAATAAAAGGTTTCATCTCCTTTCAATTTTCTCCTTTTCTTCTTCACAAACTTCTTCGGAAGTACAACGCATACATCACATTCGCTATAAAGCATTTTCGGTGAGAAACCCGTCATCATTCGTGATGATGTGAGGTTTCCACGACCTTGAGAATCGTCAGTCGAAATGGAGAGAAATTTGATCGATCTTGGGTGCGGCGCTTCCTTTTTCACTATAGGAAGGGTCGCAATGATTGGCCATACATTCCAATCTTTTGTAAATTTGTGTTATGTTTTTGAGAATTGCCTTTGATGATTGGATAGTTGATATGTGATGTCTTGCTGTCGATCTGTCTGCTCCAGCTGTTATTCTTAAAAACCACGAGATATCATGCACCAAGCACCAAGTTACTATCATGATGCATTGGCCTCTATCTTATCAAGATTGTGAATGAGTAGCGTTTGTATGATTCATTCAGACGAGTTGTCATGACGCACGAAACTATCATGCCTCATAGCTTTGTGTGCCGCATGCCGAAAGCTAGTTATCTTAGCGCGTGGATGAATCTCTAGTTCAATGACCTCTTCCATTTTCCATATTAGATGAATGTGCCAAGCAAATCATTTCGCACGTGTTTCTTTCCAGTTTTGACCTGTCATGACTCACGAGTCTGTATGTAGGATTGGCTTTGCGAGAATCAATACCGTTCTGTATGTGGGGTCGTACTCAAGCTAGTTATCATGGTGGTGATACTGATACCTGCAAATGAGGAGGTATGAGAATTGGAGAGAGGGTATTCGTCCGTTCACGAATTGCAATCAATGCGTTTCATGTTGCACAACCACCAATTTCGCTGTACGAAACCATGAACTGCTTTAAGAAGTATCACATGTTTTGCAGGAATGCCTACCTACGTATACAATTACCTCAAGTATAAGTCTAGGACCCTACTTTCCGGCCACCTCTAATTCCGGTTATCTTTTTATACCAAAAACTATAATTTTCATCTATTAATAACTTTTCAATCAATAAATATAATTCAATAAAATTGAAATTATAAATAGATTCTGAAATTTTAGATTTTTCACGATTTTATTAATTGAGTGTTACGTCGGACTCCACAAGCCCATTACCACGTGATTCAATCACGTGATGGACCCTACATAATATGCACGAAAAATAAAGGTCCAACATATTCTTAGGTCCAGGACCTTTCGGGGTCCTGAAAATCCATAGCATGAAGGTCTATATAGTCAGAACGGATTTCCTTTGTATAGAGCTTCGTGCTCAAGATTAATCATTTAGTATACTCTACTATTAGTTACGAATTGCATCTTTGTCATTACTTAAGTCCCTGCTTGACGCCTAGTCATAAACCACTTCGAGAGCCTAGAGCACTTCCACGTGATCTAGACGGCAAACCTCGTAACAATAATAAATCTATAATTCAAATTTTATCAAATTCTATTCATTAATTATAAAGTTATTAATAGTTAAAAATCACAATTTTTGGTGTAAAAGGTGGCCGGAGTTAGGGGGTGGCCGGAAAGTAGGGTACTAGACTTAGATGTTATTGACATGAAAACCTATCGAGGAGGTTTGTTTTAGCTTGGGTGCATGGACCACACCACAGCTTTAATTTACCTTTCTCTCTTTCCCATCATCACTTACAACTTGATTCATTTTCATCCAACATGATACCTATCACCTGCAATACCTCAAGCATAACGTACAAAGTTCATGTATGAGTACTATATGTTGCGTATCTCTTCCAGCTATCATGACTTTCAACAGCTGATCCACAAGAGCAGTCATAGAAAATTTGACCGAGATTCCATCGTTAAGAAAGTAAAGTATCACCTCTACAATGTTGCTATTTTCCAAAATCAAAGATAGCAAATCAGTTATTTACATCATGAAATACCTAGATGCGGTTTATGATAGCCTTCAGTTCTAAGACTTGCTTCGGAAGGTCCATTTCGCGGAGGGTTGGATTTATCTCAAATTTTTGGAAAATGGAAGAGAGTTAAATGATGAGGCCGTGTATTGAAAGCAGATTCCATCCCTTCCCTTATATCCACCCTTCCAACATGAGTTAGTTGTCTGATTTGAGATTGGTAGAGGTGCTTGACTGATCGAACTTTGAGCTAGTACTCTCAGGCATATAACTCACAGCATTTACTATATTGCTTTACTGCTCACAGCACCTCGGTTGTAACATCCTGCAGTACTATTGCAAATTATGTCCAAATTAATTATTATCTGTTAGCCCAAAACTTTTAATCTCTTCTCAAAGAGTTCAGAAGTGCAAGCAGCAGCTTACGACATGCAGTGGGGCGTAGCATGTTCTTGTAATCCTTCGGGCATTCTCTACGTGAATAGAGTAAGCGTCTAACAATGATGATTCATGAAGAAGATTGAAGTGACGCACGTGAAAAAGTATTACCGGCGTCTTTTCCACCTATGCTAATTTCATTCAAATGTTCAAAGTTTCGAAAAGCCTGGAGCTGCTCTTGTCCGACCTTGGAAATTGGAGGAGCATAATACGATCAAGTCGCCATCCACGGCGACTACCAAGATACCGCGATATCCCTCGCTTGGGGGGGCTCAAGATTTCAAATACCGTATTTGATGCCCATAACCAGATTACTGCGCCTCTTGTCGAAAACAACTACTTCGATCAGATCAGAAAGGATAATAACAGATCAGGTTTTACACGATCTTGGACATGTTATATCGAGGTCAAACATACACCTAGGCCACCTAATACTTAACCCTGTTGCGGCGAAGTAAGCTTAATAAGATGGGGCATAAGAAATTCTAAGCCAACCTGCCACTGGATGAGGTTTACTTCATTGCTAAAGTTTTGGGCCATGATGTCTTCGGTACGATATAATTTTGTGAGTGGACCTGTGGAATTGCGGAGGAAACGATGATCGCATTCACAACGAATAGATGAATATGTTATATCACGTAAGGAAAATATGGGTGAGGTTGGAGAGTTCGAAAAGAACTTGAGTACAGCAGAATCTAATCACGGTGAACATTTGATATCACTCGAGTATTAGTCAAGAATAGATAATGCATAGGTAGGTACTCGAGTAATGTAATCTAAGTTTGATGTTGATGACTTCCTTAGGTCGTATTCGGTAAATCCCTTTCCCGACGGGCGGGGTGCTGGATCAATCCTAGATAAACCTAGTGGATATGCATGTTATAAATATATTCACCAATCAATCATCATCACTGCACATTTTCTATTTTAGATATATTGATATGAACATAGTCTATCTGTATACATCGGTTGCTGTTGCTATATTATGAGTTTAATGTGATGACCACTTAATTCTAAGGATAGTTCAAAGAATACTGTTGGATGATCATGAGCTTGAAGTCAGCCATCTCAATAAAATTGAAACTCCACTTGAATTTTCAGGAAATTTCAGGAAATTCCAAGACTGTACTTACTGCACAACGGCGGTGTCGATTTCACATGTATGTAATTCCAGGCAGCATAATGATTAAGGATACAAAATGTATTCGAAAGGCCATTTCTCAGCACTTCCCCACTTCAAAAATGCATGGCGCATATAGCTGAAAAAGCCGCTATATATACACTGCACTCCCCTCCTTAATTTGTCAGATATTTGTCAAACGTCACTCAAAGACTTACGGCATACACTTCTTTCCCATTTTCGAGTATTTCTCTATACACAACTTATTTCAATAAATTATCATTTCAATCACTTTCCCTTCACAATGTTGCCCCTCGGAAAGCCAAAAACGATAACCCATACCTATGCACCTTTGTCTCCGGAATTCTTTTCACAAGTTGAGGAGACTTCTGCTGAGGAGCGAACGACATATGAGGGAGGTTGTCATTGTGGTGCTATTACTGTTAGTACTTTTTCTTTTTAAAACATATACTGCTGAGATTTGTGGGAGAAGGCTTATGAGAAGAAATACTAACGTTAACAACGATTAGTTCACTGTAACACTAAAATGGCCATTTCCAAAATATACCGTTAATTCGTGTAATTGTTCAGTTTGTACACATAATGGATATTTATTAGCTTATCCCATGAGACAAGATGTTAAGCTTTCAGAAGGTAAGATTGAGTTCTATTCTTGTCTGATCTTGTCATATCTTCTTTGGTTACTTCCTGTCTTCATCTCAGTACACATCATTCAGGAATATATCTAATTAAACCCTAGGTGCGGAAGAAAAAATGGGCTCTTATAGATGGGGAAATAAGATTGCGGATCATAGATTCTGTAAAAATTGTGGAAATAGTATTTTGGTTGATTTGTGTCGACCAGATGCGTTTGGGGAAACGGATCCTAGAAAGGATATGATTGCTATCAATGTGAGTTTGAGTTTCCTATGGATTTCAAAATTTTCAATGTGCTTGAAAAGCGGGAAAGCTGGTGCTTTAAGAGTTTTGACGGGAGAGGTGTGTGTAAAGGGTGAAGTGGGGGGGAACCTCGTTTCTTGACTTCTATGAAGCAAGGAGTTATTATTCATCTGGAATATTTAGAGTACAGTTCACTGATCATCCTGAAATAGGTGCGAAATTTCAAGGACATCGATCTTGATGAAATGAGTTATACCCATTTTGATGGGAGAAGCATTATTTAAATCTGGCACATTTCTTCTTGTTTCAATAAGTAGAAATTGTTCTCATGTCTCAGACCTACATTTGCAGAGGTTTTGAATGCATCGTCTCAGGATGGGATGAATAGTATTATGTATTATCGTTAAAATATGTCATTTTACGTTCAATTGCCAGCTCAAGCTTATTTTGTGATGGAAATTCTACAGACAAGTATCAGTTGATGGTGTGAGAAGGAAATCTTCATCCATGAGGCGTGGCCTATCTAACATGTTGGTTCTGTAAACATCATATAATCCTTTTACACAGAGCGGGGATACAAAAAGCTGCCGTTGCAATATTCCAATCTGTGCATCAATACCACATCAAAGTTGGTCGGATTTATCAGGAGATATTCATGTGCTTCTTGATGCTGTGAATTACCAACTGTTTGGAAGATACTGCCATCATACACTATGATAAACAGATTAGCCTTCCTGCCTTCTCTTTGCTTCTCCTCTCATTCCTTCAGGACGTAACACGATTCACTTTCACAACATTAGTTGAGGTCTCGTGTCGGCCGTATATCCTTTTCACTTTCATCTCAACCATACAAAATTCTTCCCAAATTATATCATTGACTTCAATCAAAACAACTTGGAACAAAAACATCTACATATCAACAATCTCCATCTCCTCTCCTATCGAAGTTCTCGTCATTGGCGGCGGTCCAGCACACCTGACCGCTGCCTATATTCTAGCTCGTCAACTTCAAACAGCAGTTATGTTTGATTCTGGCGAACTAACGCAACCTCGAGGCATCATACATGCACATGATCATGGCCTAGAACCATAAGAGTCCAAAGAAATTTCGAAGTCCGGCGAGACAAGAGATCCAGAACAATTACCACGCCATCAAACGCGAATAGGTAGAAATTAAGACTATCAAACAAGCTGAGATTGAATTTGAAGTTACAGATGGAAAATGGTAAGAAATAATTAGGAAAGAAAGTCAATCTAGCCACTGGCGCTGAGCATATAACTTACCGGATACTCCAGGTTATAAGGAATGTTCGGGAACTGGGATCTAAGTGACTCCTTACCTGGTTTTGCTATACCTACTGCCTCTTCTGTCACGGCTACGAAGAATGCAAGTCTCCTCATACGTCCTTGAATACGGTCACAATGTACGCTTCACTTGCCATTCACATCGCCGATACAGTAGTTCCCTAAGCCAAGCCGCAACCATTTACACAAATGGAGTTGAGTTCCTTAGTGAACAGATCACCACGGCTTTCAATCCTCTTCATATCCATCCAACAGATGTGCAATTGATTCTCGCAAGATCTCAAGTCTCGCCAAGGGTGATAAGGGAGTCGACGTCGAAGTCACTTGGCATTTTAAAGACGATACGACAAAAACCGAATCTTTCTTACCTACAATCACTGTCACTTCAATTGATCCGTTCATTTTAGTGTCGCGCTATTTCTCTCATGGGAAAATTAGTGCGTTTTAGCGTTGTATTAATTCTCCCATTGCCCAATTCCTATTCATTCAATTGGCTTATCAACTTTAGCGTCGCACTAATTCTCCCACACCAAAGCACCGACGACCATTTGCAGCGCAGCTGGATTTGAAGCTTACCACACACATAAATGATATCGATACCGCTGCTCGAATTCGTTCTTTACCACAAGTATAAGGGGCGTATTTGCAGCTGGTAATTCTGTTACTCCATTTAAGGTTATTGATGGTGCATTATCAAGTGGTTTAATGCAGCTGTCGCAGCTTCAGCCCAGCTTAGAGCGGAGGAGATCGATTTGGGACGGTTGGAGCAGAGGTGAATTTGTGTGTGGATTGAGCTTTATGGTCATTCTATACAATGTGTGTCTGTAGATGGTAGAACTGGTCTTTACTAGAGTTTAGTGAGCTCTTGTTAAGTAATAAGAAGATTTTGTTTAATGTTGTGCGTGCAACTGTACGTGAAAGGCATTACAGTCCTGCTTCAAATATTCCATGTTTCCCGGCATACAAGTTGGTACGATATCCCGATGGTGCGGACCGGCAGAGTTACATGTGGTTTAATTTAGTATGGTTTAATTTGTGCATACGCATCTGTACGGCAAAGCAAGCTTTCTTCAAAAAAATCATCATTGTAGGATCGCAAGTAACATGTAGATACTGGTAGTACCTGAAAATCCAATCCCCATGATACAAAAACCATTTACTTTATCTCCAAACACCATGAAGACTCTTCCATCAACGTTTCCACGATACAGCTAAACTGTCAAAACCCCAAGATCATAATTCCAAATCCGAAGCACAAAAGATCAATGAAACGACTTAGAACATATAAGTCATATCAAAACAACCCGCTTTTGTACAGGCCGGTGGTCAAACCAATAAGTATACAAGCTCCCGAACCTGTTTTAAAAGAACCCTCTTGAAATTTTAAATTTAATCCTACTTCCAAATTTCCCCTCTACTTACCTATCCGCACCAGAAATCAACATTACAGCTATTATCCAACCAAAAACCATACAGACTTCCGCGCACATAGATGAACTTCCACGGATATCCATGGTAGCAGCACTCGGTAGCCTGGAGAGCGTTAAGCTCACATGGGATGCATTAAACTCCCTTTCATAATCAGTCTATTGCCATGAATCATCATCAAGGGGAAATTATACAGTAAATTCGATATCAAATGACTTTTCATCTCGCGCGTGGTTATATATGCAATTGTTTCTGCTTTTTGCGGGACAGCTCTGTCTATCTATCTATGTACATAGATGTCTCCATATGAGACGAATATATTCAGGACTGAATATCTCAGGATTATAAATTGAAGCTATATCTATCACAGCAGCTTCCACATCAATCCAAAAGCTTTCTTTAAATTTCAAGTTCTTTCATTAAGTCTAGTACCCTACTTCTGGGCCACCCCCTAATATGGGCCACTTTCCTCACCAAAGATAACAAAAATCGACTTTTATAACTTTCCTATTTATGAATATAATTTTCCAAAATTCAGAATATAGATTTATTACTTATAATAATAGATTCTGAAAATTTCAGATTTTTCGCGATTTTATTGATCGAGAAATTAAAGGTTGAAATTTTGATTTTCGATTTATATAGGATTTATTGTTACGACGGGCTACACAACTACCATCACATGACCAAGGCACGTGATCACAAGTGATCAGTAGTGATCATAGAAGCATGAAGGTCTATATAATCAAGATGGATTCTTAAGTCCCTGCTTGACGCCTAGTTATAAAACACCTCGAGAGCCTAGAGCACTTCCACGTGATCTAGACGGCAAACCTCGTAACAATACAGTCTTACAACGGTATTTTCTCTTCAACAATATATATATATATATATATAACATTAATTACACCCTTTCTTCAGAACCACCACCAAGTGAACCTTTCACTAAGCTTATATATACAGACAGTAACTCTCTAACTATATGTGACGCCTCACACCTCCGGGTCACGTGGCATGCCCCGTTTGTATTTAATCACAGGAAAACTCTCTACTCTTGTTTTCCTTCTTCTTTTCTCCTTAGCTTAGTATTTTCTAATACAAGATACTTTACCCAGTATTCTTGAGTGTGACATAAATAAATAAATAAATAAATTGTTAAAGTGAATGGTTCCTGCGTAGCACGTGCACAGGGCACTAGTCCTATTAGGACTAGATTGAGAAGCTCTCTGTAAGAGAGCTTCGCACTTCCGTAGAACTTAGAAGAGAGATTAACCTACTAGACCAATATTACCTCAGTTCTGCCCTATCAGCTTCCCACTATTCCCTGTGTGAGGTCATTCCTTTTAACATAAATAAATAAATAAAAATATTAAACTCCATACAAAAACCCTCACCCTCACCCTAATAATATAATTAAACTCTCTTCCTATTAAATCGAAATACCTTGTGTGCTGCCGATCCGTGGGGTACTTTTGCTGGTATACTCGTACTTGGAGTTGTACTTGTACTTGTATTTGTACTTGTTGATTCGTTTGTCGCATGGGGTTGTATTCCGTTTGCTTCTGCTTCGATTACTTTCACCTCGTCTAGCTTAACTTCAACCTTGTCCTGAATGACCTTGGGTTCTTTGGGCTTTTCCTCGGATGATTTTCTTAGATTCCCCTCGATAATCTTGGGTCCTTTAGACCTCTCCTCGATAGCCTTTCCTATCATCCCCTCAATAGTCCTGGGCCTCTCCTCGCCTACCTTCCCCTCAACAACCGGAGCTCCTTGAATCTTCTCCTCATTTACCCTCACCACCTCCCCATTCCCCTCCACCCCCCAAAAGACCAAATAATCCCACAACTCATTACTAAACCTCCCCTTCAAATCCTCCAACCCCCACCCCTGCTCCCTACCAATCTCTCCAAGTACCCCCCTAAACTCCCAAATCTCCTCCTTATATGCCACCTCCCTCAAATACTCCCTCGCCCTCCTCCCCCTAATAAAAACATTCTCCCACTCCTTCGCCCAATGCGGTCTAATATCCAAATCTACCTCCTCCCTCCCAACCTCCATACACCCTCTATACCTCCCCCACAAATCCACCACCTCCTGACAAAAAGGCGCCCACTCCTCATCTTTTACCGCATCGGGAATAGTCAAAATCTCAATACTAGCCGTGCCCCATCGATTTCCCTTTTGGGGTGCCATGATCAAATTCGAATCTCCCATAATGCGTAGTTCGAGCGTGAGACGCATGGGGGTTTCGCTATCGCGATAGCAGAGTTGGATTATATCCCACCAGGCGCGACGGACGATGGTGTAGTCTGGGGTGGCGTTGGGGAGACACGGGATAGGGATTTGGAATTCGAGGTCTCGGACGCGCATGTTTTGGATCTTTTTAGGCGGGGAGGGGGATGTTAGTGGATTTATTTTGGAGAAGGGAGGAATGGGTGGAATGGGATGAGAATAAATACTTACACCGCGTCGGAAGTGGAGACCGTTAGGAAGGGCGGTTTTGTATTCTACTGTTTTCTTTTGTTCGAAATCGTTGAATTCGAAGGGAGGGAGTGCGACCACTGTTTGTGTTGATTAGTGAATGTTCTTGTAAAATATCCACTTCCCTCTTCTCTCCATCTTCTCCCCAGCCAAACCACCCGCTCAGACTATAAAGACATCAAAAAGACAACAGAAGGAAAAGACAAAACAAGAAAAACTCACTCCCAAAAGTACTCAAAATACAAGCCTGCCACCGTCCAGGCAAAAGACCAAAAACCTCACTCCCCGTCAAAACACTCCCCACCCACCCCTGAACCCACTGAACAAACGTATCAAATGGACTCGGATACTCGACCACTCCCTCGGCATCACTAGTATCATTCCACGAATTAACCCAGGCCTGCTGACTCCTCGTGAACCAAAACCACTCGCTGTAATAATCATTATTGGCTTTATCTTCAAAGTCTCGAAGGGCCTCGGCATATTGGGCCGGGGTCCAGGATTTGCGCAGCGCGATGGGGATATCGGTGAGTGAGAGGGGGGGGATCGCAAGGGCGATGTCGGGTTTGCTGGGCCGGAGGATCGCGTATGTCATTGGGGAGAGGAGAAGTGTGATGTGTGTTACAATGCCTAGGAGACCGAAACAGCCTGCTGCGGCGCGGAGATGAGAGGGTTTGGTTATGGTGCGGTGGATTCCGTTCGCGTCGATGTATTCGATGGCTCGGACGTAGTCGGATACTGTTTGATGACGACGACCGGCTCCGTGACATATTGGTCCGTTGACACCACCTGCTGTGACTCTGTTGCCAGTGTTATTAGTTTCTTGCTTTTCCAAAATCCAGATAGGAACGAATTGTTGCATAAAGATAATAAGAGAAAAGAAAAAGAAAAAAACACACTCAACAAGAATAACATCAACCGGCAAAGCCCATTTCCCATGACCTACAGCCCACCTCCTAAACTGTTCATTTGTAACCGCGGCACCAACTCTACAAAGCATCTTTCCCTCCTCCTCAGGCGTTAAACTCAAGCCCTCAATATGCGGCTCCAACTCAATCGTCTTCAACTCATTAACATCCACCACACCATCCCCATTTAAATCCACATCACCCTTCTCCTTCGTAATACTCATAACATCCGGAATCTTCTCCACACTTTCCAAATTCAACATGCTAACCAAAACCTGTTTATCCTGCGAAAAGGTATTACTCCACGAATGTCTGTATCCGCTACAACGAACTCTATAACCCTCGACCTTTGCCCACTTGACCAGATTGGAAAGACCCAATACGGTAGTCGGAACAAAAGTATAGAGAGGAGTATTCTTAACGCTATTACCCCAATTATGAAATGGAGCATTTCTATGGACTTCCATAATCCTGGAACCTTTCTCATCTTCCCAGATGTGGGGGGACGTTCCCGTTCCAAACATTGGATACGAATCTAGCTTCGAAGGTAACGAAGAAGCATCATGATTCTTTAACAAGGCACCTAAATGTCCATGTCCTCGATGCTTCCCCCAAAACTCTCCCACATGATCTTCAACCTTTTGAATCATCTCAATGTGTCCCCCCGCCTCCTCCACAATCTCCCTCTCCAATTCTTCTTTCGCTTCTTGAATCTTCTTCATCACTTTACTCCTCACCAGTCTAATTCTCTCCTCATGAGCCTTTTCCCTCAGCGTCTCCTTAACCATCTCCTTAAAATGATGTTTCACAGCCGGAGACGGCGGAATATGAAAATCCCCTTTTACATTTCCCATTCCCATAATTTCCTCCTCCTTCACATCTTCCACATCATCCATAAACGCACGAATCTGCGCTTGCAAATTTGGTTCTAATTCCTCAAATGCATGTTTAAAAGTATGAGTATGCTCCAACACTCTCAATAAACCCCTCAAATGAGTCTTTGGATCCACATTCCTATTTCTAATATCCCAGAGTTGTTTACGAAATAAATTGAATCTGACATGAGGAACATCATCGGCAAGTTTTCCAATGTGGTCAATAATTTCTTGAAGGATGTATTCCGTGCTGAGATTTTCCACCGGAGGGGCAGGCAAACTTTCGAAATGATGGGAAACCATTGTGACTCGTCAGATCGAGAGTGATGCCCGATTTCTAGATCCCTAGCTAGTATGATATGCAGGGGAAAGATGCGAGATCGAGAATTGTGAAGAGCTGAGTGGGTCGGGTAACTGTCTTGCAGATTTAAGCGCCACGAAGATATATAAAGAAAGTTTCTCGCGGAAGAACAAAAAAATGATTGGTTCACAAGAATGAAGAAATATTTGAAGATAAAAATCTTCAGTTAAAAACTCGAGGGAAATTCAATTGATATAAATAATCTTGAAAATTCACCCCTCCCCTCACCCCTTCCCCTACAAACATTTTGCGCCGTTAGTGAAAATGGCACTGCAAACCCCGAAAACTATCACATCAGGACAAACCCGAGCAAACATGTCAGCAAACTTCAGGCCTTGCCCGCGCTCCTACATAAACGCGGGATTGTCCCACGTCAGCCATCCAATCATAATTCCCGTCACCATCTCAAATATTTGTCTCGTGCACCAATGTCGTAGAGCTTTTCTGTCTGTCATAATTCTAATTGGACAAATCCCCGAGTTCAGCTGATTGTCTTGAACAGCCTTGTCGCAGACTATCCCCCAATGTAGACACCATTTTCTTCAATGAAGCCGCTGAGCCTCAGCCCATGCCCAGTTTTCAACACTTGGGGTCCTCTTTAGGCTTTCATTGATTCTGTTTATTCTCGTAAAGACTCCAATGTCACTCTTTACGTGTGTTTCTTGAACATCTGATGATTTCACCCGTGAAATAAATTGCTAGTCTGATCCAAGTTTCCGAGACTGACTGTAAACACGGCAGGAGCTACCACTATCACACAGAACTCACCAATTGTACGACTTCGCAGTAATCACCTGTGTTCAAGGCTTTCTTAAGCTTCAGAGTGTTACGAGGAAAACAACCCTTTAAAGATATCATCCAAGAGCCCAGTCAAGACTCACCAATTATGTCAATGGCTGAAGTGATTGATGCCAAACTTCCGAACAGCTTTCCAAGATGTTGGATGAAATGTTTCTTTGGATACGACTATAAACATCAGCCAAACAAATGCATGCCTCAAACCGAAACATGTTTGTAAGAGAAAACAAAAAAAAACAAAAAAAAAACAACTTCGCAATGCAACCTATACCCAAAATCATAACTAGAGTGGTCTTGTAACCCTCAGTTCCCTGGGAATAATCAAGACGCCATACCCTCACCCAAATATTCCAATCCAGTCTATGCTGACCCATAAGAACCAACTCCTTTCTTACCAAATTGTTCAGACCCAATGATTTCATCCAATAACTTAACGAATATCCAATTGAAAAGGTTTAAATCTTCCCCCTATGGTCGCACATCTTGGACATTTTCTACGTGCTCCCTGCTCCGCCATGAGGACTTCGACACATGGTTGGCATAAACCACATATACATTCTGTACAAGCGTAAGATTCTTTCAAGAAAGAAACGTTTTGACAAGCAGCACAATAAATTTGTATATTTATTGCCGAAAAGCTTGGTGATGAATTCGAAAGCGCTTGTGAACCAATATTGAAATTATCACCACTTCCACCACTTTCCACTGATGGAAAAGGTTCTGGAGCTTCAGCTAAATAAGATGGTGGAGTAAGTGCTTGTTGTAAAGGTGAAGCCTGATATCCTTGAAATTGTGGTGCAGAAAAGGGGGGCATTGATGCACGATTGACTGAAACTGGGGATGGAGGGATCTGCATTTCCGTTAGTATGCGGTTGAAACTTCTTTACATGTACAAGGTACAAACCGTTGTTCTATCATCATCTGCATCTTCTGTGGCTGATGTTGCTGCATCAATCAAATCTTCCCATCTTTTTCCATAAAACGAAGGTTCAGCAGATTGAGCTTTACGATCATGACTTAAACGTCGCAGATGAGTATGTTCACCACGAGATTTTTGCCTCCTATGTTGTGGCTCTCGAGCACGCTTTGACACTGATTGTTTTCGAGGACGACCCGTGCTTGGATTTCTTTGAAGCGGAGGAAGAGTGGATGATCGTCCTGGTGGCGATAATATTGAAGGGAGAAGATCTCTGCGACGATGAACATTGAAATGAGAGAATGGATCGCTAGTTGGCTCGAGTTTGTTGGAATGAATTGGAGGAAGCTCTATAGAAGCTCGCATTGCTTGTTTGTGAGCTTCATTATCAGACATCCAATCCTAAAAGAATTAGCCTTCCATTCATTTTCGATAAATCAAGCTGGGAAAGCAACCTACCGGTTCCGATTCCCATCCATTATCCAATTTATGATTGTGTAGCTGTGCTAAAGCTGCTGCAGCACTAGCGGCTGGAAGCATTGAGCTATCGTCCAAGATTCTGGGAGTATTTGGAGTACTCGAATGATTCGAATGATCGCCATAATAATTCGGTCTCTCATGGGTAAAACCTATATACACAATATCAGTAAAAAGCAGAGAAATATCATCAATTATTTCTACAGACTATTTGAAGCTTGAGAAGAGTTGGTGGTGGTGGTTGTTGGTGGTGGTTGTGGTCGCTCAGAGGGCGGGGTATTGATCATAAGTTGGAAGCTTTCTTCGGTCGCAGGAAGCTTTGAAATATAATGTTCTGGATGAGCTCTTCTAATGTGCTCTTGCATGGATCGATATCGTTTTTCCTGTCCATCTCACTCGCTTGTTACCACGGATTGAACCGTACAAAAGGAAAATAACTTCCAAAGGGGTACAGCAGATACAGCAGAGTAGAGGCACTCACGCCGAGGCAACGTTTGCGACAACTGGAGCCGTCTTGATTTCTCAATGGACAAACAACTTCATTATTTGCATCTGAAACCGAAAATGACGATGTCAACGAAGAACGAGGAGGCATCGTTAATGTAGAATCGACCATTACCAAGTCAAACAAGAGCGATAATGGTTAACGGGATGTGTAGAATTTGTAGATAAGATAGACAGATAGGTAGATAGGACAGTATCGTCGCACTGTTTCGTATCGGGGGAAGAGGGGGGAAGCGGGAATCTTAAAAATGTATGATATTGATAGCAAAATTTCGCATAATTATTTAATCAAAATAATATGTGAAGGTAATTTCTCTTTCTCTTTTGTAACTTTGATATTGTAATTCTTTTAGGGGAACAAAGATACAAAATCGAAGCTCAAAGCTTTCTCTTCAAATGATTTCTTACAATTGGTGTTTGAGAAAGAATGTGTGTAGATAGTGTGTAGTGAGTAAGTAGTGAGTAGTAAGTAGTGTGAGTGGCACTGGCATTGAACGAAGGAGGGGTCTTTCCATTAGATAGACAGGTTCGAGTTCGAGGCAGGGCAGGGCAGTTAGAAGCTCTTTTACTAGTGGGGTAAGAGTCAAGAAAAGAGCTTCGGATAGGAGCTTTTTTCCTCTTTTTTTTTTCATCATCTTTTCTATCAATGCTTTTACATACAAGGTAGCTAATATGTTTAGATACAATCCAATAGAACCAATGAAAAGATGTATATCTAGTAGCTGGAGCATTGAGGAGCTCTTGAACATGATATTGCTGTGAACCGAGCTTGGTTTCCTTTTCCTTGTCTTCAGTCTTACTGATTACTGTATTTGTTTCAAACAAATACTCGAATAATACAATCCTATTCAGACTCCACCTATTATTCCCTCGGTCCCTTGATTCTAAAGGTCGAAGAAAATGGACCAAATAATAATACAAGCTCTCTAATATGGAAGATTCTCTATACTCATGATTCCAAGTACAATATCACACTCCACTTTATCCCAAAACAATGATTAGTAGCTTGAATATTTAGTAGGTAAGTAGCTGTGCGGGACCTGAATCAAGTCGATGGGTTCAAAGTCAAAATGAAATTCCAAGAAGCTTTAACATTCCTCCAAATGTATTTCGAGCGGCAAAAGCAGGCAATGGCCAAACATCGGACCTTGAAAAACTACCCTTCTATTGCTAGTCAGTTCACACATACCTAATACATACCTACGCAAGTGCCTCGTTGGGCATGATATTCATGCGACCAATGCTATACGCTGAATAATAACAATAGTATTATCGGTGGAGAGTTAAAAAGAAGCACCGCACCTCCCTCTCCTCCAATCAAAATCTGATCATGTCTTCCTAATGGAGCAGTCCTGTCTCTCAAAACCCATACCTGGGAAAGCAATTGACAAGTAAGAATTTGAGGATACAAAGTTACTTGATCTGCTGATCTGCTGATCTGCTGAAAAAAAAAAGATTTATTGGATCATTCCTTCCCAATGGAGGTTAAAAGAGTCACACCAGATTATGCTACTTTATCGATAACCTTTCATTCCATAGAAAGAAATCCCAATAAGAAGATATTGATTGATAAAGGCTCTTTTTTCTTTTATCTTTTATCTCTTATCAATTGCTGCATTGTTCTAAGCCTTCTCAAGCTACCTACCAAGTTGGAACATCTGGAAACTGGAGAACCCTGAGTACCGTAACATAACCTTACCTTACTTTGACTCGAATATGCATTGAGCATGCGAATATGGCCTTAACAAGCTTAACATGCTTAACAAGCTCCTTTCCAGAAAGTCAATTCGCCAGAAGTAACACCAGAAAGTAATTGAAACTAAACAAATCGATGCTTTGATGAATCCAATTGATCTTTCACATGCGAAGGATTCGTATCCGCTTGCATATTTGTATACCTTTGTAAATGGTAACAAAGTATTTGTGTTGTTGTTGTTGTTGTTGTCATTGTTATTGTATTGATTGGTGCATTGATTGGCAAGGGCAAAGGAGATTTCTGCCAATAATTTCCAAACATCAAGCAATTCCCTTTTGGTAGTCCGGAGAAATTCATGAGTCGACAACACAGTTAGGACTTAGGAGTTTAAGGAGGATAGAGAGAAGCGTCGGGTATTTTCAAGCTCGCTGGGGTCTTTGTAAGTTGGAACTTGGATTGCAGGAGTACTATTGGCTTTGAGCATTGAGCAGTCAGTAGCTTCTAGAGCAGTAGCTTCAAGAGTACAATAGAGGTATTTAGCTTATCAACAAACTAGCTATCTCTAATGCAAGAGCTATTTTAGTACAATCTCGCTTATTATACTATTATTAATTCAGTATAATAAAATAATGAATAATGCTGAACTTCAATATTAAGATTATTTCAATGATATTAGCTGATTCCTCAAATGATCGAATTTGAGAATATATTTTTGCTATATTATATTATTTAAGATTTTAAAATGATTAAAATAATTTATAAGATTTGATTGTGTTACGAGGTTTGCCGTCTAGATCACGTGGAAGTGCTCTAGGCTCTCGAGGTGGTTTATAACTAGGCGTCAAGCAGGGACTTAAGTAATGACAGTGATGCAATTCGTAACTAATAGTAGAGTATACTAAATGATTGATCTTGAGCACGAAGCTCTACAGTGAGGGAATCCCTCCTAGTTATATAGATCTTCGTACTCCCTATCCCATCATCCCATCGCTCCCACTTGATTTAAGTTGGTGGGAATCCTTCCCATCGGTTCACTTGATTTAAGTCGGTGGGATCGGTGGGAATCATATAATAACAGAGTCTGTGCTCTTCAGATCCTCACATGACCTTAATCCCATACTAATTTGATCGAATCGCATCTCGTAAGCACACGATCGGTTACTTAAGATCCGTGATCGTAACAATGATATCCTATACGGGATGCGATGATTCAACACCTGTACGTGGTGCATCCTACGAACCTGTAATTTTTCTTACAGAGCCAAGATTGAATCAGGCTGAAGCTGGGCAAAGGTCGTGCTTTAAAAAGGAGCGGTACTGGGAGTGAAGGTATCGTGAATTTGGCCCGGAACAGAGGACTATCAGTCGAACGGAGATGAAAACTACCCGACAATCAACGAAACAACGACGGATTTCGAAGCGGAACCACCTTTACGAATCTGCAGTGGGATGCAGAGCCTGAGAATTGCTTTAAGGAGCATTTCAAAGCGGACTGCCTTTACGAATCTGTGTGGGAGCAGAGCCTGAGAAGGAAAGCGTTGTGCCGGTGATTGACAGGGCACCTCTGGGGCGCTAGCGTGCAGAATTTTCACAACTCAACAATGCGTACAATCTGCGGGTATACCGGATTGGAAGTTTACAGGTGGTTAAGGGGAGTAATCGAGAATGTATAAAGGTTGTGGTAGAGTCTTATTGAGGCCAACGGAGGTATGGGTGGATTAGGGATGGAGGGACGCTTTTGGCACTTTGCTCTACGAATGTACAAGAGCGGTATCATGGCGGCAGAGGAACTCTCGAACGAGGGGGATGCTTTTAGCAAGATTCACTCTTCTGCGAAGCATTCGGCAGACATCACGGCAGCGGATGAGCTCTGGCAGAAGCTACCTTATGAGACATATATCCGATACGTTCTCAACCCTCCGCATTATCGATTACAAACTATACATTGGGGGAATGGACTTTGCAGGCTGTGCTTTGGTTAGTGAGCTGGAAACGTTGTATTTTTAGTTGCCTGGCTAGGGGTTAAGACACAGCAAAGCTTGCAAGATACGGTCGGCCTTGTTGTGTAGGAGAGATCCGGCAAGGTAACGCGAAACGGTGCACAAGCCGCGGGGCGTAGCGTATAATGGCAGCGACAGTGACACTGTCTATACGGCTCGAGAGGACGGATGCGCGTATCGGTCTACAATAGGGTACAAGGCAGCTGGCAATGGAGATACCGGGTAGGCTTAGGGAGCAAACAGGATAATAGGTGTAGAAAGGTTGTTTTTGCCTGGGGGCAACCTTCTCAAAGGATATTGAGACTGACATCTTGTATCTGGGAAAGCATGGTAAGAATTGGTTACTCTTACTTATATTTGTAGTCTCACTGGATATATTATAAAAGACTCATAGATTTGCAAATATAATATTATCACTGCAACGCTACCACACTGGAGATCCTAACCTGGGGCGCCTCAGAAGGCATCACCTTTGATCCCGGCAAATCAGAACTCATCCACTTCTCAAAACGCAGGACTGAACAGAACCCAGATACTACCCCTACAATTACTATGGGAGATCTAACAATCAAAGAACTTGCCAATGGAAAGCCCTATATTAGATGGCTCGGAATCCTCTTCGATAAAAAGTTATCCTTCAAATGGCATACGAAAGAACTAGCTACAAAAGCTATTGTAATAGCCAGAGCTCTTAAATCCCTGGGTAACTCTATAAGAGGAGCCCCTCCCAGACTACTACGGCAAGCCGCTGAAGCATGTGTCCTCAAACGTGCATACTTTGGAGCAGAAACCTGGTGGACAGGTAGAACACAATTCGGAATAAACCACCCTACTAAGGTGGAGGGCCATATCAACCAGTTAAGTAAGGTTACCTTAGAGTGTGCCAGAGCAATCCTGCCAGTATGGAGGACAACCAACATAGCAATACTGCACCGTGAATCAGGACTCCGCCCGCCTGAAATTGAACTGGACGACCTAGCTCGCGCTTCAACAGTTAGAACCAGAAGACTGGACCCCTACCACCCTCTCGCCTGGAGAGCTAAATGGATCCAAGAGGACCCCGGCTCTTTCAAGACCCGTTTCGCCTGCCGTATCCTATCTCTTCCGCCCTCGGAACAGATCGATCCCCTATCAGCCCCTAAATGGCTAGAATATGAATCAAGAGCAGAAATAATGAAGCGTATTCATAGCCCCAATGGCCGTACCAAACAGGAAGCAGCTACTGAATTCAACGATTTCTATGACCTACTCCCTCGCGAAGATATCGTTATCTTCTCTGACGGGTCTAAACTTGCAAACGGCAACACTGGTGGCGGTTTCGTAGGGTACCAAGACAACCACAAATTCTGCGAAGGGAGCCTTCCACTAGGAAGAATGAAGGAAGTATATGATTCTGAAGCGATCGCAGCTTTCGAAGGCCTCAAGGCCGCTATCTCCTCGATCGAATCGAGAATAGCAACAGATATATACATCTGTCTTGATAATATTGAGGTAGCAGCAAGACTCCTCTCCAAATCTACCGGATCCTCCCAGGACACCTTCTCGGCTTTCCGCCAACTAGCCTCAACCTGGCACAATGGCACAGTCCATATCCGATGGGTCCCTGGTCATAAAGATGTAGCAGGAAACGAAGCGGCTGACAAAGCGGCCAAGGCAGGGGCAGCCCTCCCTCAACCCACAGGGGCCTACTCATATGCAGGACTCAGAAGAGTGACCAAAGGACTCAGGCAAAAAGCAATGAATCAGCTGTGGTCAACAGTGATCCCAACAACCTACAGAGACCTCGAGATCTTTACCTCACCAAGGAACCCAAAAGAACTCTCTCTCCCTAGACCCTTCCTAGGTCGCCTAATAGCTATCCGCTCAGGCCATGGAGACTTCGCATCGTACCACGAACGTTTCCTACATCAAGACGCACAACTGCTTTGCAGATGTGGAGCCCGTAAATCCCCAGTACACTTCTTCTTCTGCAGTATCGCCAAAAGAAACCACCCCCGGCCTAAAGGGAAACCTGCCGATATTCTTCCGTTCCTCTGCGGTACCTACGAAGGTGCTGAGGTATTAGCAAACTGGACGAAAGCGAACGGATTCTATACCAACATATGTCCCCTCCACCTCCCTCCCCCCCAATCTTAAAGGGCCCCATTCACTCGCTGTGAGACCCCAGGTCGCAGAGCTACCCTAACAGACAATCAAAATTGACCATAAAACCTGTATTTCCTTTGTAAGGGAAAAAAAAAAAAAAGCTTATATAATCAATTGTGGAGGCGCTAAGTAGGTCATGGGGTTTTAGGCGGACCGGCTGCAGCTCGGCAGAATTCATACTAAGTAATCCCTCCACCAATAGGAAGGATTAATTTCTCATCAAGATCACGGCAGCTATGGGAATGCGCTCAGGAATCACTACACTCTGTAGAAATAGTATGTATATAACTATTAGAAACCCAGGAGTAACTCCCTGGCGGCCTTTGCCCCAAGAGGGGATGTCATGAGAATGGGGGGGCTTCGCCCCCTCGGCCTCTGGCCGTTAAATAATAACACACACACACACACAATGATATCCTATACAGTATTGATATATTCAAACAACGTTAATGAAATTTTATATTAATCCTATTTTACTTTTTTATTATATTTTTTCAAAAGATAATTAATTTATTTTTTATAAGAAACACATTAGATATTTAAGAAATTCTATTTCTTATATCTATTTCGTAATAACTTCAGTAAATTGAATAGGAACAGCTTCATTTTTGAGAATCTGTCACACTCAAGAATACTGGGTAAAGTATCTTGTATTAGAAAATACTAAGCTAAGGAGAAAAGAAGAAGGAAAACAAGAGTAGAGAGTTTTCCTATGATTAAATACAAACGGGGCATGCCACGTGACCCGGAGGTGTGAGGCGTCACAGAATCCATATTATTATTTTTATATAAAATTTGATCTTCCCTTATTAGAAAAGGCTATCAATCGATAGCTAGTTTTTTAACAAGCTAAATACCTCTAATAGCAAGCAGATCCTTGAATCGTCGAAACCGCTGCGTTATTTTCATATTACTAGTGTAAAGCCGGGCCAAATTTCGAATAGGGCCCTCCGGAGGTTTATTGAAGGTTTCGTAACAAACGGAGAGTCTAAAAGGTTTGTTTGAGTAGGTAATTAATTGATTGTTGTCAACGGCGAATCCGAAATGATTAGCATAGGCATCCTTGGAGATTTCTATCCCGTAATATTTGCGAACCTGTATGATTTATCTGTCGCATAGAACGAGTATATGGGCGGCAAAGGTATGAAGAAAGGGTATCCGAGAAATTAGATTTATATATCAATGTGGCGAACCCTAAATCCCCAGGGCTCGTCGTGCTCGGAGTATTGATGATATAAAAAGTGTTTCCTTTCCATATAGCCAGCCTACTATAGTCTGCCTCCACGGCAGTGGTCCCCGAAGGGCCAGCGGAGCGTCTTTCCAAGTAGGAATGAATATAAATCATTGAGGAATGAGCAGAAAAATAATATTTTCTGCTGGGGGATTTGACAGAAATGAATCCTTGATATAAAGTAACATTCGACCTTGGTTAGCATTTTGAGGTGCTCGCCTCTTTCCATTTATTCTGATAGACCACATCACGAAATCGACCTATGATTAAATGACTTTAACAATTTGCAGATTCTTCGAAATTCATCGCAGAGTGTATTTGAGGATTGTACTCCCTCCATCTATTCAAACTTCCATTTTCCTCACATCACACAAAAATTCGACTCAACAACCCTCTCTCTTCCCTTCAGAATATCCTCCCACAATAGAAAAATTAATCGATTAATCGCACCGAGTAGAGAGAAAACCAAAGCACTCCCCTCCATCTCGACAATACTAGCTGTAAAGATTCATATACAACGTAACAAACTTAATGATCCTCATATTGATGATTTTCCCAATTCTCCTGAAGATCATAAAAAATGAGGCTTATAGTTTCTTGGCCTAACTTACTTATTCTATGGCTGAAATGTTAAGACTTGTCGTCAATCAAGATTTTGATAATGACTGGGGGGGTTAGGTAGGTAGGTACGTACTTTGTAGATATCCAGAAATACGGCCACAGGTAAGAAATCCATTTGCTTGCCTTACTTTAGATGTACATTACGCACATTTCACTACCGAAGTTTCCTACATACTGTCACTGTGTACCAATTCCCATGGTATGTTCGTAATGATAAAAATTCGCGTATCGATCCCTCATCTCCATCCCCACCAATCAAACCCACTCCAAGCCCATCATCTCCAATCAATCATCTAAACAAGGGAACCACTAATGATCTCGGAACCCAAAGCTGAAAAAGCTCCATCGTCAAATCTTGCTAAAATTGATCTACGTACCCGAAAGAAGGTGATCATTACTATTTGGGGCCACTTTGGGATTGGTTAAAAGTTCTTATGTTATATTTTGGTTAAGTGTAGGCGAAAGTATCCGCTTTCTTGATATTTGATAGATACTAACTTTGAAGCTCGATGCGAATGCGAATAATGCGATGATGGATGAGCTGAGTTGAGGTTTATAAAGATATATATAAAAGGAGGAATGATGAAAATACCTACTTAGTACATCTATCTATATATTCTTCCGCCAAGTAATCAGCTATATAAAAACACGACATATATCTATCTATCTATCTATCTATTCAAATACCCACTCAAAAAAAAGAAAACATGGACATTATTACATTGAATTGATAGTTGGATCATTAGATCCTCTCAAATCGCGTAACCTTTCCATTTCCAATTAACAAACGGGGGGTTTTTGAGTGACGCCTAGGCCATGGGTACATGCTTTGTTTCTATCTATAAACAAATATGACCCATCCATCCATCATCCCGCATCTGATCTTCTTTACATTTAATAATGACATCTAGTACATACGCGTATTTTTGATGAGTAGTAGATGGAAATACTTTAAAATCAGCTTGATTTATTATTGATCCACCATCTATCCATCCATCCCCTTTGTTTTCCATGTCCGAAAAATCTTTACTACCTATCTACATTCCGAGTGAGACCCCTCGGCGAATTCATTGTTCCTTGTGGCCTCACTGTCTCGATACTATGAGCTTTACCGATTTTCTCGACCTTCTGATTTCTCGATTTGAAGATGTCCTTGACAGTTAAACATCTAAATAATGATGCTTCATTTCTCCTAACATTTGCTCCCATATCCCCATTTCCACCTTCACCAGGCCGGCCCGAAGACTCCTTTACCATCCTCTTCGATCCATGGTTATCAGGTCCATCCAAGATATTCCATTCCAAGTTTTCGATATCACATCTCAAAACCCCCTCATGCATATCTTCCCTCAGCGAAATCCCAGAACCTGATCTGGTAATAATAAGTCAAAACAAAACCGACCATTGTCACGAAGAAACGCTCAAACAACTCTCTCCAAACGGTAGCAAAACACTTATTCTCGCCGAAGCCGGTACAGCCAAGACAATAAAACGATGGAAATATTTCTCCTCCTCTAAAATAATCACTCTCAAACGCTGGCAAGATCCTCGTCTACGGAAATCTGATAATATCATTCGAATACCCGTTCCATCACAATCTCACAATGCCACACCAGGCGAAGTAACCATTGCATTTCTCCCGCAAAAGAACGACCTCACAGGTCTGCACAACGCAATCGGGATAACCTACCGACCACCCACCATCACAACATTCATCCACCCCCCAGAAACCAACTACACCACTCCACCCGCATCCCCTCACTCCTTCGCCTCGACTCTCTCCAACCCCACCGACCGCGCCCTCTCTGTCATCTTCTCCCCCCACGGCTGCACCTACCGCACCATCTCCCCCTACGCAACTTCCCACCTAATATCCCAAGCCGCACTCCCACTAACCTCCCTCCTGCACCCCTTCGACCGCATCTCCAACCCCTGGTATCTAGGCGGAAACATCATCAGTGGATTTCCAGGCGGGGTATCCATTGCTCAGAATCTGTGTGCGAAAACATGGATTAGTGCTCATGATGGAGAGAAGATGAATGCAGGGGTAGCGACGTGGAGAATTCGCAGTAAGAAGTGGGAGAGGGAAGAGGTGGAGAGGGTGGTTAGTCCCAGGGGGGAGAAGTTTTCTTCTTCTTCTTCTTCTTCTTCTTCGGCGGAGAAGAGGGGGATAGGGACGGAGGTTTTGGTGTTGGGGAGTGGGGAGGGGGTGAGGTTGGTGCAGGGGGGTTATGGAGGTGGAGTGAGGATTGAGAGGGAGGGGATGAGGTTGAGGGTGGGAGATGAAACTAGAGAAATTAATAAGAAAGTGGATATTGAAAAAGTGTAAAAAAGGTTACGTCCAGATCGATCAATACATGCGAATGCATTTTGCGAAAGGATGAGCTAGGTACGGATGATAACACACCAACACAACATTTACTCCGCATCCTTCATATGTTGTAATGAAAATTCGCAGATTCAACTGGTTAGGAGAAAACATACTTGGGAATATGAATTGGGGTTAGAATTTTAATGTATATATAATAAATAATAACTATTTTATTCATTTTTATTTTACCATTTAAATAGTTCTTGTTAGTAGATAATTAATTGAAAGTTTTATTTTATATTAATTATTATTATACACTTATTAATAAAAGAGTTAGTAAATTAATAAAATGAAAATTTGTTTATTTATTATATTATTTTTTAAATGTATATATATTTTTTAAAAAGAAATAAAGAGAAGAGAAGAGAGAAAGAAAGAAAGAAAGAAAGAAAGAAAGAAAGAAAGAAAGAAAGAGTAACGATATTGTACTGGAGGCAGCGGCTGCCTAAGGTTTCGTCTGGTTGGTAGTTATGGGTTAAGGCTTTATCACTGGTATTCACTTGGAAGTGAATTCGTTACTAGATCAAGTAGAATGTAGGTAAACTAATTGATAACTAAGTTGAGCACGAAGCTCCTAAACTATGAAACTACTCTGACTATATAATGAATAATAAAGGGAGCCCCTAGGAGCTTTCTGGCTCCTCAGGGCTCCTAGGGCTCCTTATCACGTGATTCCTTTTCATCCCAAGACACTAATCCTAATGGTGAATCGTGACAGAAAGAAAGAAATAAATAAATAAAAATTTAATAATGTAATGTAATATAATATAATCAGCTGGATTATGTTTTATTAGTTTAATTTAATCTTGTTTGTATTATTAAAGAATTTTGATTTTCTACTGTGCTGTGCGCATGATGTGAAGTTGATATTAGGATAAAGATTTGATAGTAATATATTCTCGTAGACAGGTAGTTCTACAAATTTCATATGCATATATATGCATGTGTTCCCACCCATACTCTCCTTACAATTTCCACATCTTCCAATTAACCATCTATCAATACATACACCTACTGTAAACCCCATCCACTCACATCATCCTACCTCTTCACCCCCTTCCCCTTCAACATCGCTTCCCTCATCGCTGCTCTCGCACTCCTACTACCTCCCAACTTCGGTCCTTTCATATATAATTCCTCTTCTGTCTTTTCCTGACTTCCTTTCTTCTTCTCCTTAGCTGCTTTTTCAGACATTTGCTGTTGTCTCTGTAGTAATGCATGAGAACTAGCTTCTTCCCAATCTTTACGGAATGTTTCCGCTAAAATTTCATCATTGGGTCCTTCTACTTCTTTGGATAATAATGATGATGAAGGTACAGGTTCGTAGATATCTAGGCGGTTTTCGTGTAAGATAGCATCAACCAAAGCGTCTCGTTGTATATCATCACTTCCTCTTCTTTTGCGTCCACGCCAGGGTTTCCCATCGCGACCTAGACGGCTCTTTGATGGAGGATTTTGTGCAAACTCTTCAAGATCAATAGATTCTCCTGCTGCCTTTCTCCGTGCCATTTCTGTTCGATGCGCATTCCTCACTCTAGCTTCTTCCCCAAGATCAATTTCGAGTAATTGACCCATTGTAGTAGGTGCTCTCTGAGGTTCTTTAGATTGCAGTGTTGAAATCTCATTCTTCGAAGTTCCCGATTCTGGATGCGTGAATGGAGAATTAACAGACTGAGAATTATGTCCCAGTTTCGATTCTATATATGCCATCCTATACTATTAGTCACCGTACTTGCATCCAACCAGTTCAGAAGGAAAAATAAGAAATGTACTTACATATGTTTATCAACACCACTATTCACGACTCCCGACTGCGGCGCAAATCGTCGCATAGAAAGTCCACCCTCTGGCTGTACTACCTCTGTATCCTTTTCTTCGAATTTGACCAGCGTATCTCCATTTGAATCGGTATCATTTTCTTCTCGAATTTTAGATTCGGCTCTAAATTCCACTCCTCCGATTTTCCTTCGTTGTTTTCGCAAGCGCAAAATTTCTGCCATATCTAAAGTATCTTTTATTCCTGCTTCCTCTTCTTCTTCTTCTTTCTTAATAGGAACTGAATTCGATGAAATTAATTCATCCAAACTCTGTTCCGCGGACGTAAGTGCGGGTGCAGGCGCGGGTATTGATTGTTCGATTCCAGTTTCAAAATCATCATCATGATTTCGCTGTCTATAAACCTTGCGCTTTTTGGAAGGTCGAAATAATGGTATCGGATTTGCGTTTGGGGTTGTCATGATTGAGGATAGAAGATTCGGTAGATCTGGCGATTGGTGTACTCGTAAATTGTAGGTTGTATGTAATTATCGCAATTATGAACGAGGAAGATGGAGACCGGGTTGAGATCACCATGGATGCATAGTTGTTTAGCGTCTATTGATAGGCTTGCTAGGGTAAGATCTTATATCGGGCATCGGCTGATTTACATCCGAACCAGCACCAGATTGTGGGGTAAGCTCCAAAAATGCGACAACAATTGAAGTTCCATCATCATCAAGCTTTTTACAAAATCAAAGATCTTGAAGTTTTTCAACATTCAATTGACCTTATACTTCATGTAACAATGTCAAGGAATGTAGCAGCTTCTGTCCTTCGAAGGGCTCTTCTCTATGGTATGCTATTCATCTGAACATCATACAATGGAAGCTCCCTCATGGGCAGCTAACCTACGAACAAGTACCATCATCCTCGCCCAAATTCTTAGAGAAATCCCGAGGTTTAAAAGTCGATAGTATTGCCTATGATTTAGAGGACTCGGTGACTTTGGAGAATAAACAGATGGCAAGGAAGAACATAGTAGATTTTCTTAAGGGTGAAAGACCAAAAGATGTAGGAGAGTATGTATTATGTATTTGATATATCTTTCTGCTGCTGCAAAGGCATAAAATATACTGACCTTACCTCTACCCAGAATAGCTGTGCGAATCAACTCAGTATCATCAGGTCTAGCTCTTCAAGATCTTACTGAAGTTCTCAAAAGTCAACACCTTGACACTCTCGTAATACCCAAAGTAAATTCACCATCAGACCTCCACTTCATAAACGATATTCTTCGTCATACTCTCCCATGGCGACACCCATCTACTTCATCAGCCACTTCAAATCCTGTCAAAATCCTCGCTCTAATAGAATCCGCACGATCCATCGTAAATCTCACCTCAATTTGTCAAGCATCTCCCTACTTACACGGCCTTATTTTCGCAGCCGAAGATTTCTCCTTAGATTTAAATATCACACGAACACCCAGTCTAGACGAATTCTCCTATGCAAGAAGTCATATAGCAACCTGTGCACGAGCATTTAATCTTCCATCCACCATTGACTTGGTATGTACTTCATATCGAGGAAATGAAGGAAAAGCACGATTAGAGGAGGAATCTCTTCAAGGGAAAGGCCTAGGTTTTAATGGAAAACAATGTATTCATCCTTCCCAAGTGGATATTGTTCAAAAAGCATTTGCCCCTGCAGAGGGAGAAATAGAATGGAGTGTACGAGTAGTGATTGCGGATAAGAAGGCAGAGAAGAAAGGGAAAGGAGCGTGGACTTTAGATAATAAAATGATAGATGCACCGGTTTCTGGTAAGGCGAGAGAAGTACTTAAGAAGGCTGAATTGTGTGGATTTGATGTCGAGGCTATGATGGAGAAATGGAAGGATCAAGAACCGGAGTGAATGTGAGGTATATTGTCAGAGTGAATGGTATGACGAGTAGTTCAATAGTTTCAATTCACTGATGACTTCTCATTCCAATGTTCCCATTGATAGATCTTTGATTTTTTGATTTGTCAAATCCCTACGTTTGGAGATATCCTGGTATATACTCTTAATATTCTCTCTACGAGTATAATCTGATCTACTTAAGAATATAAAATAAATAAATATCGATATATTAATTTATTCTTTCTTTTGTATAAATTAAATCGAGATTTATTTCCTCTTCATTGTCTTATCTTATATCTTTTTTTTTAAGTCTTTTATATATTTTTAAAATTTTTAAAAAAATGAAATAAAAAGAAAAAGAGATTAATATATATATAAAAAGAGAGAGAGAATACCGACACCAGCAAGTATATAAACAACAAGTAAAAAAATTATAAAATAAAAAGTAAATAAATAAAATATTTAAATAAATATATATCACGTCATAAATAAGTATAAATATAAATATAAAATATTTAATAAAATAATACTAGTATACCGGTATACTAAAACCGTAAAACACACCACTACCATCACCTTCATCCACTTATACGAAGTAAGATACTACCTACCTACAGTAAAACAGAGTAGTAATGCACTTATTCCACTTATCACCTAAACACCAAACTAGTCCAATCCAATCCATTCGCATCCAATGCCCACAAATTAACCACATACCAAACCACCCACCCACCTACCTCTCCCTCCTCTCCCTCACCCTCCTCCTCTCCTCCTCTGCCTCCGCAATCGCCTTATCAATCCTCCTCTCCTCCTCCTCCTCCCTCGCCACCTCTTCCGCCGACATCCCCAACCCAATCAAAAAAGGCGCTTGAAGCGTCCCCTTATAAACCCTCGGACCATCTATATTATCCCCCTGACTTCTCATTTGCGCAGCTACGATAGCTCCCAACGCACCACTTGCTGCGCTTGCTGCGCTCACACCATTGATACTATCCGTATAAGGTTCCTCATCGAAAATGCTACGTTCGTCTAGTCTCTCGTGGCTATTTTCTCGACTTATGGTTATTTCTCCATTATTGCCGCCTAGGGGGGATACGGGACGGGATATTCCTGATGTGATACTAATACCCCTACTACCCACATGACTTCTTAGCGTGTTAGATACTTGGCTTCGTCGCGGACTAATAGGTACGGGTGTATTTGCTGTAAAAGCACTTCCTGGTGCGGGTAAATCGTCATCGTTCTCGTATGGTGTGATGGCACCGTGAGATGTGAGGGGTGTGTTTGTGTCGGTGCGATCGGTTAGGTTGAGTTTTTCGGCGATGGAGAGATCGCGAGATTCGTTATTTTTGAGGGAGGAACTTAGGAGATTTTCGGGGGTGTGGGATGTGTTTGGTGGGGAGTTTTTGCGACGTCGACGAAGGAGGAGGAGGAGGGCTAGGAGAAGGAGAAAAACTAGGATTATGGCGCCGAAAGCGATGCCTATTTTAGCGCCCAGTGATAGTCCGCTGGACTTAGAGTTGGAAGCATTTGATGTACCTGTTGCATTGGCTGCATCGGTGCCAGTGCTAGTTGGTGGGGCGGTAGGCGAAGTTGTTACTGGGTCACAAAGAGTTGTGATAAGTGTATTGGATGCTGTTGTCGACGGTAGGATCACTTTCCCCCCAGAAGGCAAAAGAATTGTTGTGGTAGCTGTGACAGAAATCGTAACTGTCGGCGTCGCATAATTCATGATTTGCGACGTAAATGAGGCTATAAAAGCAGATAAAGATGCTTTTTCGGATGCTAGTAGTTCTGGGCCTTCTCTCCTCTGGTTGTGGGATGAGAAATTGTGTGATATATGAAAGTATGGGCTGTAAGATTCGCAGTTGAAGTTCGGAGTGGAATTAGCATTGTTGAAACATAGAAAGAAGGCTGAGTTGGGCTTTGTGATGGAAGAGAGGCTTGTATTAGTATCATAAAGGTTGATATCTAAATTTGCATGTCCTGTGCTTTGAGCTGCTATTTGACAAGTAGGGTCGGCTTCGCAGTCGACTAAAATTATGGTTAGATCTATGGCATAGAGATGGTATCTTCTTAACAATTACTTACATGTGAGAGGAATAACATAAAATATGTTGGATGGGTCTGGTGCCATGAAATTGGTGGTATAACATAAAGCCAGTCCTATCACGTCTGTTGGTCCTTGAGATTCCACTATGTATTCGGGTTTGTAGCTTTGGTTCAGCAACACAATACGATCGAGATTTGGCCATGTTGTAGGGTAATAGTATGAGTCTCCTTGACCTTCATCGCCAACAGCTCGAGAAGTGTAGATTTGTGGTGACAACGAAAAGCTCTTGTCAATTTCACTGCCATGCCCATCTTGTCTCTCATCGTGGTGACCCAACACCATGCCTAGCAACCCGCACCAGACCACCAAGACCCTCCATCTCTCAATCGACATAATCATTTCCAGCTTTCTCACTTCCTATCCCATCCATATATCAAAACGACATTCTCACTCTTTATCCACTTTATTATTTTCAAATATTTCGCAAACACTTGTCGCATTTGTCGTTCTCAAATCCAATAAATTCAATCAATCATCCAAACAAAAATAATCAATCAACCGCACCAAAAATTACCAAAAAAAAGAGAAGAAGAAAAAAATCCTCAATAGAGAGACCTCTCAGCCTACGACCATTGAAAATACCAACACTTAATCAAAACAACCCCTACCTTTCCATACATAATTCATCACACCAAATCCTTCAAATCAATCACTCAGGATCTTAACATCCACGCCCAATGTAATGGAGGCGCAGTCTGCGGGTGGGTAGAGTGAGATGTGAGAAATGGGATGGGGTGGTTCACATCCTAACACAGGATGCACATGCACGTTTGTAGGCTGTTCTTAGCGCCCCCTTTATTGGTCCGTTTAGGAGGTGAAGGATCACCAAAATGTGGAATGTGTTTATGGATATGCGCCGCTCCCTTTTCCGTCTCCGTTCCTCCAATTATTTTCTCTTAGTTGTGTTGTATACGTTGTACGCAAGCTGTTTGTATATCCATATATGTATGAGGTATGTAAATTTGTGAGGTTTGGGGGCTAAAGTGAGTGAGGGGTACGAATTAGCAAATTTGGATTTGAGAGGCAATGAGGTTAGATCCCGTTCATCACAGCCTTATTAGACGCGGACCACCAATGGACCCATTTATGACCTAGTCTTATAAACAAAGTTTGTGATGGGCGTTGGTGATAGTGATTCGTGATTCACAATCGATAGAGGTATTTGATACTATGCTCCTATCCCGGCCCTTCAACATGACAGAAACAAACGGTATGGTATCACCATGTACAATCCGTAAGCCTCGCCATAATGAAAGGATGAAAACTGATACTCATTCCGAATTACTTATCCGTCATACTTACAACATCCATCTAGGTAGATATTGTTTTAAATTTGTGTCAACAAACGATGGAAGCCTTCAGTGGTTGATCATCTGGGATGGAGGTATTTTAATCGTATTGGATTGAGTTGAATGCAACCTAAGGAGGTTTAATACTACTTTAGATGACCCGAAGTAGTTTTGTATAAAAGTTACTAACGGATTACTAGATTGAAGGAAGTAGGTCGAGAAGTAAGCACCTTCCTCCTTAAAGCATCCAGGTAAATGAATCTAAAATATTCCATTTATCAACTGCAGATGTACAAAACTACATTTGTAGGGAAAAAGGTTAATAAGTCGGTCGTCCTTAATCCATGAGAAATAACAAATTTGAATGAGTGAAGCCCTATAAAGGTAAAATTCTTCGATATACTACCGTTATATCGTCCGTCTTACCATCTAAAAATAGACAACCTTGCACCTGCATACAGCCGCTAGCCCAACATACAGATTCCCAATTCTATCAAACATCAAAAGTAGAGATAGATAACTTTGATTACCTAGGGAAACAATACTCATACATTTTGATATTTTTATAGATTTAAATATATGCTTGACTGCCACCTTTCATTCAAGACGACCCATTTTCATATTTACCAATATTTCCACCCCTCAAATAGAGGGGCAGAAATCTCAAAAAACCTGCCGTCTGGTCTCAGAACAACGATGTCAACCTCTCTTTTGATAATGCCACATTAATGATCATAGAAAACAAGTAAATCATCAACTCTATCCTCATCCAATCCAGATATATCTCGCATCTCGCATCCCGCATCTCGTATCAAATAATTATCTATTCTCATCCAAAACCTTCCACCTCCCTAACCAATCATAGTCATAACCATATATAGATATATCAAAACAGAACAGAACAGAAGGACAGTCGGGCAAGTATAAAAGGAAAGATAAATCTATAAATCTATAAATCTATAAATCTATAAATCTATGCAAACACTCCACCAACACAACCTCATTCTCATTCCCATCCCAAGTCTCTCTATCCCATAAAACCAGCAACACACACACACACACACACACACACACACACACACCCACACAAAAACAAACAATACCAATATCAAGAACAAGAACAATAAACAATATCCATATCCATATCAACACCAAATCGCTAACCATCATTATGCTATATAGGTAGGTATGTAGGTACCTAGGTTTATCTAATGAACCTTACTTCCTCATTCATTCACTCAATCCATCCATCCATTCATTCATCTATACTTTCTTCATCGATGCCTTCCTTTATCCCATATATTCACGTATGCACAGGAAATGCACAATAATTCTATATCTTTCCTTCCTTCTTTCTTTTTCTCCCCTCCCACTTCCCTTATCTCTCTCTCTCTCCATTCCATAATTCCATCAACCCTCCATCCAATACACACTACAATGAACCTACACGTAAACCCTACCCCCACCACCACCTCCACAAAAATCCATTATGCAAAAGTCATTTCGATTTCCTCCTCACCCCCACCCCCAAATTCATCCTCATCATCATCAGCCCATGCATTTTTCTCCGCCACATATGTCATTCCAGCCCCTACCCCCAATCCCAACCCTACTCCCGCACCTAACCCTCCAACACCCAATCCAGTCGGTAACGTACTCGACGATTTATACTCCGGTCTTACGCTACCCATTCCATCGAAGCCTCCTCCAAATGAACTACCACCACCGCTACCACTCGCAACATGTCCCAAAGAATGAAAACTCGTGTGGCCTCTCTCGGGTAATCTCGTACTACTTACATTAGCTGAATGAGGCGGTGAATGATATGCAGTATCAAACGTCATTTCTAATTCCTCTTCGGGTTCCTGTATCATATATGGAGAATTCCTTGCAAGATCCTGTTTGGAGTGAGAATTCGAGTATGAATACGTCGAGCCCGATGAAAATCCATTAGAAGGACGTGGAGAATGGCTTGGTGAACGATAACCACGGGAATTTAGTGTGCTAGCCGCATCGTCGCTTTTTGTTGGTCGGAGAGAATTGCGTGGACTGGATTCATTACTTTTTGAAGAGGATCCAAATTTGAGTTTCATAGGTGGAAGTGTAGATTTGAGTTCCTTGACTTCTACCTGCTGGCCACTCGTACTACCAGCAGCAACTCCACTAGCGACTTCTGCACGAATAGCATCAATATCAAAAAGGACCCCATGATTGTTTCCTTGCCCATCCTCTGTCCCAGATCGGCTCGGTTCACTACCATGCTCGTTCTTCGAAATTTCATCGTACGTTTCCCATTCTTTACGCTCGACAGCTGATTTCTTTTTGCGACCAAAGAAACTAAATCTTTGTTTTCCTTCTCTCTCCTTTTTCTCAAATTCTTTTCGAGCTTCTTCTATTTCATTAATAAGCTCCCTCTGTCTCTCAGCATGATTATCGGGATCTGGATCTTCGATTTCTGTAAACTCATCACTTTCAACCTCCCATCCTACTTCTCGAAGAAGTTTGGGCATGGCTGTACGATATGCCATATGTCCGGGTACTAGATCAGTGACATCCACATTTTCTATGCCAGGGAACATTTTTCTATCGGGTGCAAGTCCTGCTACACGTCTTATACCACCACTAGTAAGACGAAAGAGATATCCTAGAATCCAATCATTTCTTGCGTATCCGTTGACGAATCTACCGGCCACAACGGACTTAGCCTTTAAATAATCATCCTGATTCACAACATTAGGCGAACCAAATAGGTAAACATTCTGAACCAGTCCGTAAGCGCCTTTCCTGGCGAGTTCTTTCAGACATGAGAAAATGACTCTGGAACCTAGGGAATATCCCACGAAAGTGATTGGTCTGGTACCAAGATTTCGATCAATAAGTGAATCTGCAAGAATAAGTCCTGCGGCATTTGCCCGGTCTAGAGAAACAGTCCAGGGGTTATCGATGAGATATGACAGCTTAGTTAAAACAACTGGTAATTGTAAAGCAGACATCAAACCAATGAGGATAGTACTTCCAAGAACTTGTTGAAGACCTTGGGTTAGAGCCTACAATGAATTAGTATTTATAAAGTATTTAGACAACTCAACTCACCTCAGTTGCCAGGATATTAATGGTGTCTCCCATACTCGTAAGCATTTCCGGCTCCCATAGTACTGAATAAATATCTCCCATGATCGGATCAACAGTACTATATGGTAATCGTACATCATCGACTTTACCCGTCATCCATCCAGAGACCGTAATAATCAAGTTGACTCGCTTATTGTTATGCAGTGGTCTATATTCGAAAGTTTTGACTGCTCCAGTTCTACGATTTGCAGCTTTGATTGCAATGAAGCCACCTGAAGTTGCGGCACCCGTTGTGATAATAGCAGCACCTGCAGAACCAGCAAGAAATCCACTAGTACCTGCTACACCTATTGTTGTAAAACCAGCAGCGAGACCTGCTCCAATGACAGGTGCTAAGAGACCTGCGGAAAGTCCAATAACTAAACTTCCACCAACGGTAGCAAGACCCATCATTAGATATCTTTTTTTGAGAGCCATTTTTCTTCTGTTTTCTTTGTGATCATCCTCATTCCAGTTCTCCTTCTCGGCTGCTTGTTGCATCTCTAACGCATCAGTC